GGAGGGGGAGGAGGAGGGGGAGGAGGGGGAGCATGGTTGTGGGATTTTGAATCTTGTGAGGGATATGGGTTGTGGATGATGAGATGAGGAGGTGGTTTGACTTGGTTGAAGAGGTGGGTTAAAGAACTGTTCTTTACGAACTATGTTCCATCTATACTTACGATTATCAACTGATGGCTGTTCATCAATTAAATACCCCCTAAACCCTTCCCACTCCCCTCCCCAAATAAACCCCTCCTTCAGAAAAACCCCAACCCACTCAATTCATAAAGAAATATAGCACCTCTTGACAACCCAAATACCCAAACACCCAATGTGGGACCCTCCAACCACCTATCAAAAACCCAAATCTACCATGTATCACCAAACCCCACCTCCAGACAGCTCAGCAATCTACACGGTTACGGTCAAGCAAGCTAACTCGCACCGGCACTGCAATAAATAAAATGCGGACTCGGCAAAATGAGGTGGGGAAAGGGGTCCCCTCGGGAGGGTAAATTGGTTGATCTCCCTGTGTAGAGATCCTTCCTTTCCTTTCTATTAGCGTAAGTTGAGCTGTCTTCAAGATTTGGGTTGGTTGTCTTATGATTCTCGGTTAATCAAACAATAAATATCTCGACTCAATCAACCAAAAACCCTCATGTAACCATTCCTCAATTCATTTCTATGCCTAACCTACCCTACCCTAGCCACCCAATCTACCAAACCAGGGCAAATATTATCCCCATCCCACCATCCTATCCTATGCCCCGCCATGCACGAAAGCAAAAAAGTCCCATCCGATTCTATTTCCCGTGCCAACCCCCATCACTCTCAATAGAAAATAACTCAACACCTCGCTTCGGGGAAAAGACCCCAAACTCAGGCAAAGAAAAAAAGAAAAGAAGGCCACATGAAAAAAAAAAGAGGAGGAAAAATCAAGAAAATCGCTAAAATGCCGCTACGCCCCAAAGATGATGACGATACTGCAAAGTGGGCAAGTCAAAAAAACACATATCAAACGCCAGCCCTGCCAAAGCCCAAGTCCAGCCTCCCCCACGGGTATTGATTGACACGCGCGAAAAAACCGAGTCAACGATATGCACAAATAACACCTATCCCAAAGGAGATTCGTGAATGCAAGTGTCTGGGGAAAAAAGAACAACGCCAAATATAAAACAAAGAAACGCTATGAGTCTTCCATTCTGAGAAGACTACCGCCTAATGCTCAACATCATTAATATGAGACGGATTTTGTGATGCACGCCCCCGGAACGTTTGTACATGGAAAACTATTATGGAAAAGCATTTGCCGTGGCATGCAGAAATGCTTGACGAGGAGTATATGGTCCGAGAATCGACTGAAGCACAGCTTTTTGTCAAGATATCATTAAACCCATTAAAGGGGGTGTCGTCGACGTCGTAAAAACCTCAAGGCTCTCCTCATACAACAGAAATTATAATGTGAGATTCTCATATCCTGTGCAATTAACTAGTTTTGCTTTGGTCTTGTGGCTGGTGATGATGGACGCAGCAAAGAGCCAATAGGAATTTGAGTGCTCGCAGTGACATGGGAATTTTGTTGTTGAGTGAATCTGCCCAATGGATAAGCAAACTGTGGATGGTATGTTTGCTGATTTGAAAAGTTGTTGAGGGGCCGAGGAAGAACGTTGCCCACATGCGGAAACGAGAGATGGATATTATGGCCGAGAGCATTGCTTAGCGAGGCCGACGTTGACGTGGAATAACCAAAACCGAGAGAATTGCTGTAAGCATTGGCATAGCCAAATGATCCAGTACGAGCGGGCTGGAGTAACATGTTGGATTGTCGGAAATTGTGCTGAGCATTAGAGAAGTGCAAATTTGGGAGCTGTTGGCTGCCAGGATTGTTGGTGCTTGGGATTTGAGTGTGATCAAATTCCATCTCATCGACAGCGCTGATGTCATCATCAGCACCATCAAGTTGTGCAAGTGATTTAGTGGCCGGTGAGTTGACTGGATTCATGTCCCGATTATTCCATTCAGCCTCAATCTTTGGCTTCAGCGCTCTCCATCCACGCTCTGATCCAGGATCACGATAGATGCGGGTGGCAGCTTTGAAACACACAGTCTTCTGGACGAATTCGATTGGAATGTGTTTGAGCTCTTCTGTGGCACGTCGAGAAAACAGTTCAGAACGAGCCTTTCTGTTTTTATCGTTTGGCTTGCGGTCATTCAATCGTTTGTTTCTTACAGCCTGTTCGATCTTGCAAACTTTCGCCATGTGCTCATCATTGATAGTCTTCTTCTCTGCAAAGAAAGCATTTTGCTTTTCTTCCAACCCATCCATGAGATCTTTGTGTATTTGGGCTGCGGTTGCTGCTTCCTGAGGAGTATGTGATGGGTTGGGAACGTGTGGAAGCGGGGTCAGAGCCTTGTACTCCTCAATGATCTTGTCGACATCGGACTCCAAGTAACATTTGTAGAGTCTTGGAGGACCACGAGACCGAACATCCACCTCGACCGTATAATCATGAGGCTTGATGAAAGAGTCGTGAACCGCCGCAGGAATTGACTCGAGCATCTTCACAACCGTATTACGACCAAATTCATTTTGCTTTTGCTTGATGACCCGATCTTCTCGAATGACGTTCTTCTCCCAGCAAGTTGAACACCATCTCTTGGCCCAGGACCAATATGCTCTTGATGCTTTCTTATTTTGGCAGCCAGCAGTCTGACATCCTTTGCCACCAAGAAGATCGCTATATTCTCTTTCAGACATGCCAGGAGGCGGTGGAGGCATATCCCAACCATAATTCTCCTTTCTACAGTTGACAAAAATGGAATCAAATTGGTCAACAATTCCTTGGAAAGTTTTACAGACAAGGCGTGCCTTCTTAAGGAATGATGGCGGGGTGAATTCAAAAATGCGCATCCAAATATCTTGACCAATTCGCTCTCGTGCCTATTTGTGTTAGAAGAGGCTGTAAAGTAGGGATCAAAGGTGAACTCACGGATTCGGGTTTGACTTCCTTCTTGGAAGATCGCCCCTTTTTATCTAATTTCGCACGCTTTTCAACTCGTTGTTCTTCGGCGCTTTTACGCTTCTTCGCAACCATGTTGTTGGAGGGATTCTGGAGGGTTGTGATGTGGAAGTTTGATGACGTGAGATCGAATGTTTTTGGCAGCTGGTTGTTCTGAGGTTTTGGTCGCTGAATGACTGAATTAAGAGGATTTGAGTGAGGTGCAGAACTAGCTTGGTTGCTGAGCGAGGATCGTCGATCTTGGATATCTGAGTCAGCTTTGGTCCCTTGGCTGGCCAAGTAATGCGAGAAGTTTGCAGGAAAGTTTGGTATTGTGGTATTGCTGATCAAGTTGCTATTGTTGTGTGCGTTGTTCGTCTGGTTGACTGGTTTGTTCACGGGCATAAAACTCTTGATATTGTTGAGCTGGTTCGGCGGATGGCTGGCCTGTTGTGACGTGTGTACAATAGAAGGAAGTTTTGGGCAACTTGGTGATACTGAATTTGGTTGCAAAGGTGAGGTCCGCTCAATTGGTGGTAAATTAAGTTGCGGCAGCTGGATTGAATTTGCAAACTGGCCTGTACTCGAAGATGCCAGGAAAGCTGAAGTCGGAGATGGAAGATGTGGCACACTGGAGTGGCTATTAGACCCTGACGGTATTATGTTATTGCGGGGTTGTGATAAATATGAAGCTGAGGACGTATTGCAACTCTGGACAGTCAAAAGATTATTGTGCGAGTTTGGTGCCTCAAAAGAAGATGTTTGTGGTTCTGCGGAAGGCGGACGGGTAAGTACCGAAAACTGCGGGCTTAATGAGTATTGTCTGTTGGGGTTGAGGTGGGAGGGTTGGGTTTGGTAGAAGGAGTGTGGGTTTGCGGCAGTTGAGGAGTAATGCATATAGTCTTGAGTTCTTGTTAGCCCGAGGTTCCACTTCACGATTCACTTCACTGATTCAAGGAAATAGATGGCTGGCACTTGCATACCTGCTTCTTTTGCCCTGCTGCATTCACTGCGAGACGGCGGAAACAATTCACCCGCACAAAGCATGTGGTTCTTTCCTAATCCACCCCCAGGTTCTTGGATCTCTCTAAACTCCCACAACTCCTGCAACCGACTCACAACCTCTGGATTGGACCCGAATATTGGACGGCTCCCCTGAGCAGCCTCGTGTTCAAATCCCGACATGACGCTGCCGTCCAGATTTATGCCAATGCAAGGCAGGAGGGATTTTAGGTATTCGCTGGCAATCTGACGCCCCGACACATGTGTAAATTCGAATACCGGCTCGACGGTTTTTGATGATGCACTCGACTCCAGCGGTGCTTCCGAGGAGCGGTCATCGTGGGCCATGGGGAACGAGAGAGGTCGACGGACGCTGTGCTCACTGAGAGACGATGGCGGCTGAAGACGGGGTGGAATTTGACGATCGAGGTTGCCGACCCCACCAGGGACTTGACGTCAAGGACGGCGGTCGTTCATATGATATCTGAGGATGCGATCGGAGGGAGCGATTATTAGGGCTATGGTGCGACGGAGAGTGCAAGTGGCCAGACGTCGCGATGGGGGGTTGGTGGTGTAGTGGGAGGAATTGTTTGTGTGGAGGTAGATTGTGGTGGAAGTGGAAGTGCAGTGCAGGCGCAGGTGGAAGTTGAAGGCCCGTCCCCGTCCCCGTCCCCGTGAGATTTCTGTGGTCCACCGTGGTCCTTCCTTTCGGCTCCAGTCCAGGTGTTCAGGTTGTCTCGTCCGTCAGTAAATTTACGGCCAGGGCCGAGTTCTAGGCCCCTTTTCAAGCCAGCCGAATCAGGAAAAGAAGCCTTGGAAACGGTCCAAGTGGTGAATGCAGGTGCCTGCGATGCCCTCACGTCGCCGGGTGCTGCTGCGGGAGACGGAGGCAAGCAAATGCAGGAAAGGGAAGAAGGCAGGGAAGAGAATGACTGGGAAATACGTGGAGAAATGAGGTTATAGGCATACCAGTATTGTAAGTGTTAAAGGGGCAGAAGGGGGGAGGGGGGCTATGTTTGGAGTCGCTTAAAGGCTCTATTAGCGTCGGCTGCTGGGAAAATGAGAGCGATTTTGGTGCCGGTGTTTTTTTCTTTATGCCTCATTGTGTGCTGCCACTCGGTATTGTAGACTACGAGTGGACGGCTACTCTACACTACCTCGACTACCTACGAGTAGCCTGCACTGGCTGCACTGGCTGCTCTGCACTGTTCCCAAATTAGGGCATTGGAGGAGTTGCTCTTAGTAGTGTTGCTCGCTGTTCGCGTTCGTTACTCTCTGCTAGGCCCAGGTTTCTTTCCAGGTTCCCCTACAGGCCCGGGCGTGGACGATGTGAAATGCACCATCGACGCATCCGGTCTTTTGCAACACGACCATGGCATGGCTAGCCATCGCATCCGATCGCATCGCAGATGTGCGAGTAGGGTAGGTGTCAGACTCACCCTCACCAAGACCAAGTCGTTCGGAGGTCTTGCATTCCTGGTGATCGGCTGACTCGCCCTCGGTCGGTTTCTTTGTACTTTATCAGGGCGACACCCACGCCAGCTTGGCGATGAGGTTATGAGTAGGAGGAGTCAACTAGGAGTACATAGTCAACCACAGTTAGGGTATGAGTAGAGTTGCAACCGCCTTGGGCTTGGGTCGAATAGACTCTCAGTCTACCCTCAGTCTACCCTCAGTCCACCCTCAGTCCACCCTCAGTCTACTGCACTACAACACCTTTCCAGAGAACCATCAGGAGAGCGAGAAGCACCCAGCCGTTGCGTCACGTCGTTGGCCTTTCCCGGTGGCTTCTGCGGCTTCTGTAACTGAACCGGTGCTGATCCAGTGGTGATTAATTGAATTTCGTACTATTGATTCTCACCTGCAGACACAACCCATTTAGAGATGCCCTGCCAACATGATGATGATCAAGTGATCAAGTGAACCGTCCACGGCGGGGTGGACGAAAATACCTGATTCTCACCATTTACGAATACATCACCGCCTCTCATCCAGAGTGGATCGATGAAATGTCTTGCTTGTTTTGACTAGTCAAGTAAATAATGTCATGTTTCTATAAATGGTTATGCTTCCCTTTATATTGCTTTTGATTTCGAGTAAGATTTGCTGTGCTTGAGAGTCATGGAGCAAGATTCAGAGGCCAGAGTTTCTTAGTAGAAACATGGATAGATGCCGAGTGATCCCTGAGTAATGCATTTCCGTTTGGTTGAAGGCATGAGAGATGAGACGTGAGAAGAAAATTATAAGTACGTGTATCGTCAGCATTTCAAGATGATCAAGAATAATGGATGATAATCTAATCCAATACCATCATAAGAAACGTGACTTTCCCGTGATCTTTTCCGCGATTGCCGAGACCACCAGCAATATTCTGTTTCTGCCGAGTACGAGTAGCCTTACACGAAACTTCTGAAACATTTAAACGACTTCATTAATTTTCATCTCCAAAGAATCCTTTACCACAGTTGGAAGAGAAATCATGACACTCGATGCAAACACCAACTTCTCCCCGCATTCCAGCCATGTTCTCCACTACGAGCGGTCAAGTTGAGCCTTGTCACCAAACCAATCACAGTTCATCCCTCACGATCTTCCATCGGTCTACTTTCCCGAACCGAAAAAATGGCTCCCCTGACCGTTGTTTCCATGGATTCTCAATACCAGACTCCACCACCATAGCGAAGTCGGAAGGCAAGTTATCACAAAACGGAGATAAACCGATGATTCTGTTCTCTCCGACATTTGATGAATTATGACTCAAACAGGCCAGCAATCCAACAGAGCAGATCTGACAGCCTATTATTGCTGGATAACGTTAAACGATACTCGGTAGTCTAGTTGCTTACTCTACGCTCTAGCTGCCTCTTGAAATCTTCAACGTTACAGTACCACCCCAGTTACCACAATCCTGGAAAGAATGGAAAACGGAAGGCTGCTTCTCAAAGCTGTCTGAAATACGTCAAGACCGTTTACAACAACTGAAGTAGCCGCAATACTATTCATATCTTGTCAAAGACCATCTAGGCTCTAGCCATACCCCAACCTTGTATGAAGTACCGTACCGTACCTCGGTGCCAAAAGTGGAGAACCGATGCCAACTCAGGATGCACACTGCGGGGGAGACAAGGGCATTGCAACGATGACAGGCCCACTATCTTATATCCTCCTCCACAAAAGCTTCGAAAATGCTTACTCCCAGGTCAGAAAGTGGCGTCTGCTAGTCCGGCAACGGCAGACCGTTGTAACATCAGAGAAGAAAATGGATTTGTAGCTCTGCCTTTCTTCAGCTACTTAAGATGCTGTCGTGCCCTGATGAGGGATCCCTGGGATTGGATCAGACTTTTTCTAGTGCCTTTTTAATGTTTATCCTAAATTTGATCGCGGCGTTACTCATCTTGCCTCTTTCGGTGTGGCCGCTTGTCTACTAATCTTTGGGTGCCGTGGGCTGTAGATATTAATAAACCAGATCGTTTACGAAGATAAAAAGATTGAGGCACCAACTGTGTTAGCAGAGTAGCTCAAGCTGTTTGGTTACCAAATCGAAGACGTCAAGATGTTTGGATTCAGGAATAAGAGTGAGTTCCAGACCTAATTTATAGAAGATATCTACCCCTCTTTTCAACGTTAACGGCGTTACTAATTCACACGTCAGAAGAACCCCATGTACCATCACCGTCAACATCAGACATCGAAAAAGATTCAACAGGAATCAAAAATGAAGCCAACAATTTCTACAATCCCAATCTCCCGGGAACTGGACAATATGGCACTGCTCAATATGATGAACTCCACGCCGTCTGTCCTCCACATACCACAGAAAGGGCCTTGATGACAAAGATTGACCTTCGTGTTATACCTTTCCTTTGCATTCTCTATGTATTCGCCTTCTTAGACCGTGTAAATATCGCCAATGCCCGCTCCTTTTCTTTGGCAAAGGATCTCGACCTTCAGAATAACGAATATAATACCGCCCTAACAATCTTCTTCGTCCCTTATATCCTTTTCGAGATCCCTTCCAACATCCTGCTCAAAAAGTTCTCTCCCCGAGTTTGGTTATCAGGATGTATGTTCATGTTCGGCGTCGTATGTATATGTCAAGGACTCGTAACTTCCTACGCAGGCCTGCTAGTTACCCGATTCTTCCTAGGAGTCTTCGAGGCAGGCATGTTTCCCGGATGTTTCTATTTGATCGGGATGTGGTATAAACGATCCGAAGCCCAACGACGCTATAGTTTCTTCTTCAGTTCCACCACACTCGCAGGAGCATTTGGTGGTCTCCTCGCCTCGGCAATTGGCAAAATGGACGGAATAAGAAACTACCACGGCTGGCGCTGGATTTTCATCATCGAGGGGATTCTCACCGCCGTAGTCGCACTAATATTCTTCTTCTTCATCCCCTCCTTTCCCGAAGACGCAACATGGCTACAAGACTCCGAACGGGAGTACATCAAAGCCCGGCTCCAAATCGACCAAGGACGCTCCGCGGCGGAGCGCAAGATCACAGTTCGGGATGTAGGCCGGGTGTTCAAAGACTTCAAAGTCTTCCTCGGAGGACTAATGTACTTCGGCCTCATCATCCCCGCGTACGGCTACGCATTCTTCGCCCCCGCCATCCTATCAACCTACAAATACTCCCCCATCCAAACCCAACTCCACTCCGTGCCCCCCTGGGCCTGCGCCTTCGCCTTCGCCATGCTCATAGCCTTCTGCTCCGACTACGCCCAGCACCGCTTCCTCTTCACCATCCTCCCCATCCTCGTCTCCATGGCCGGCTTCCTCATCCTCCTCTTCGTGCACAGCAACCTGCCCCTCCAATACGCGGGGCTCTTCTTAGTAGCCATGGGCGCCTACTCGGCCATGCCCGTCATCATCTGCTGGTTTAACATGAATCTCGGTGGCCACCATCGGCGAGCCGTCGGGTCGGCGTGGCAGGTGGGCTTTGGGAATGTGGGGGGCATTATTGCGACGTATGCGTTTCTGGCGAAGGATGCGCCGAGGTATACGGCGGGTCTGGCGATTTGTCTTGGGGGATTGGGTGTTAGTGCTTTGGCTTGTTGTGCGTATGCTGCTGCGGTTTCGTGGGAGAATGGGAGGAGGGAGAGGGCGGGAGTGGATGTGGGATTGACGGAGTGGGAGAAGACGGAGTTGGGTGTAAGTGTTCTATGTTCCTTTTCGCTCTCTTTCTGTTTTCTTCTTTTTTTTCTTTCTCGTTCTACTTCCTTTCTCCTTTTTATAGCCCCCTCTCCATTCCCTTCTAAGCGTCCCTTAATAATCCACTAACGAGAAATAGGATATGAGTCCCGATTACAGATACCTCCTATAACCCCCTCTAGAAGCCATCCAACTTAAACAGAAAAACAGAAAAACAGAAGAGAAAAGAAGGAAAAGAATAGAGAAAGGAGAAAGATAAGGGATAGAGCATTGGATTTTTAATAATAGAGATACCTATTATATATAATATCCTCCGTCACACGGTGTTTTTACCTGGTTAGATATTAATAATAATAAGAGAGTGTCACGAATCACGTTCTCACGTGATACTTGTCATAATAAAGAGGCGCAACCCTCGACAGGCACATCCAGGTTTCTTATACAAATAGGGATGCTTAGACTAGCTAAGCGATCCAAGGATTTCTCGTCTATGTAGTCACGTGATCAATCGCATCGCCTGTATCGACAGTCGATGTTAGCGATAGGAGGTCGACTACATCGACAGGTGATGTTAGCGATAGGAGGTCGACTACATCGACAGGTGATGTAGGCGATGTAGAGAGAACGAAGGTTCTATATAAGACTGGCACGTCTGCCATTAGATAGGAGCTTCGTGCTCAGCTTAGTTATCAATCTTATCATATTAGTTTGACATCTTTGATACAAGTAACGAGTTCACTTCCAAGTGAACAACCCGATAGTCTTCTTATTATCATAGCATACCAACCAGCGAACACCCAGCCAAGTTTAGTTAGCCAGTTTGAGTATTCGTTACAGAGAGAGGGAGATAAAATAATATCTATTAAATCAAAAATCGAAATATTATAAGACGAAGGTATAACGTAAAAAAAAAGCGGAGAAAGATAAAGTGGTAAGTAGGAAGTCTTTTAGGATATCCCTAACCGAGTACTCGGAGAAGGCGATAGAGTACTAGGTATCTATCTAGTAAGATAGGGAACCGAGATAGGGGAGTAGGTCTAGAGATAAGAGTAATACTAATATATTATAATAGTTATATATCTAGAAAGAGAGAAGAAGAGAAGAGGGGAGAGAAAGAAGACTTATAAAGAAATCTACTTAAATATACTATTTTATATCTCTAAATATAATCTACTATTGGGTTGAAAGGGTATTGGGTACTGAAGGTCATGGAGAATTGATTGCATTGTAAAAGGTAGCTATCTAAGGTGTTTATATAAAGAGTGTAAGGTTTAGGCAGACATGAAGCATTTAGGCAGCAGAGCTATAAGTGGATCAAATCAGGAAGTGGAGCAAAAGAGAAAGTAGACCCAGCACAACATCTACTCTAAGAATATAATTGTCACGAATCACGTGCTCACGTGATACTTGTCATAATAAGAGGCGCAACCCTCGACAGGCATACCCAGGTTTCTTATAGCAAATAGGGATCGCTTAGGGTAGCTAAGCGATCCAGGGATCTCCATTGGTTATGGTCACATGATTAAGTTGGATCGCTGGATCGCTCGGCGACCTAGCGAAACGGACCGCCAGCTCGACAGGCGAGTTGGCTACTGGGTAGATCATAGTACTTGAGGATGAAGGTTCTATATAAGACTGGCACGTCTGCCATTAGATAGGAGCTTCGTGCTCAACTTAGTTATCAATCTTATCATATTAGTTTGACATCTTTGATACAAGTAACGAGTTCACTTCCAAGTGAACAACCCGATAGTCTTCTTCTTATCATAGCATACCAACCAGCGAACACCCAGCCAAGTTTAGTTAGCCAGTTTGAGTATTCGTTACAATAATACTTCTACTATTCTACTATTCTACACTCTCTCTCTACCTATCTATCCCTACCCCTACTAGCGTATTAATAGAACTAATTCAATACTTAACGCTACTCGAGTAATACTCGAGTTAAGTTAATTAGGTACTACTACTTAACTTAACAACTCGAATTTAATACGCTAACCTTTACCTAAATATTATACCTACCTATCTTATACTATACTATACTATACTATACTATACTATACCTAATAATAACCTCTTCTCCTTAGTTACTTAGTTATTTACTTACCTAGTTACTTAGTTACTTAGTTACTCGATTACTTCTTCTTGTTACGGAGTTGGAGGGACTGGGGTCTGGTCACGTGTAGCACGGCACGTGCGTGCCGCTGGCATCCTGTATTTAAGCTTCCGTTCCTCTGGAACTCTTTTCTCTCCTCCTCACTTAGTTGTTCGCTCAATACAGCAGTTTCCGTTTGACTCCGTATTCATCACAGCAAGCAGTGGTTCACTCCACACGGTTACACTTCTCCTCGATTACTTAGTTACTTAGTTACTCGGTACTTAATTACTTAGTATAACGTTTACCTACTTACCTACTAGCTAGAATAAATCCGATTCTTACTCTCGAGTAATTATTAGAGTAGCTTAATAGTTTTAACTAGTAATTTATATAAGTAAAGCGTAGTAATATAGAAAGGAGGGAATAAAATAAAATAAAATAAGTGTGAGAGGCCAGACCTTGAACAACTCAAAGGTGAGATTTCGAATATTCAATTAAGAAGTGCGTGAAGACTACGTACATGCAAGCTCTTCCTCTATATATAGAGAGAGGAAGAGTCTCTGAAATATTCCAGGAAGCTGCCTAACGAATACATGATGTCAAAAGAATAGAACAGAAAAGTATGGAACAGCAGAGACTTGCTTGGCAGTGGGGGAATGGCCAGTGCTGAGCGGGGACNGAGGAAGGAGGTAAAGGAAGGGGGGGGAGGGGAAGGAGGGGAAGGAAGGGAGAGGAAAGGAAAGGGAGAGGAAAGGAAAGGGAGAGGAAAAGAAAGGGTAAAGGAAAGGAAGGAGAGGGAGAGAGGAGAGGGAGGAGAGAAGAAGAAAAGAAGAGAAGAGAGGAGAGAAGAGAAGAGAGAAGAGAAGAGAGAAGAGAAGAGAGAAGAGAAGAGAGAAGAGAAGAGAGAAGAGAAGAGAGAAGCGTTCTATAGAAACCTTTATAAAATCGTATTAAACCTAGTGAAAACAAGTAGTAGTTTATAGTAAATAAGGAAGTACGAGGAATATATTACATCCCCCCTTATACAACTAACTCCTCGCCCATCAACACCACAACATCATCATCAGCTACACTATCAGAGCTCTTTTTATATAGCATTTGTATCCGCACCTTTAACAATAAGCCTCGATATACCTCTAAAAAAGAGAGGTCTTGCCTCGGTTCGTAGGGGTAATTTGTCGAAAGCCGTAAATCGTTATCGATTTATTTATTCTCTCGAACAAGGTTTTTGTTAAGAAGGTATAGGTATAGCATATGACGGTAAGTACCTTGATAGAGTCTTACTCTGGTACCTCGTAAGTAACTAAAAAAAGGTAGAGGTACCAGAGTTACGAAGAAACCTAGATATATATATGCATGTAAGAGAGATCCCTACGACGTCGTGATGTCATTGAAGAAATGGAGTCGATGTACTCGTATCATGTACCTTGATGGCATAGCCTAGATAGATACCGGTACATCGTATCCTACCTGGGAATAGATACTATGTAGACATACTCGCGATACAAGGTAATCTCATCGCGCATACTGTAGTACGGATTAATCCGCCGATTTCTCTAGGATACCTATTGTATATCATTATATTAGCTTTGGCAAAAACAGTGAAGATTGCGAAAGCACGAAAAGAATCCAGCCAACTCTCTAGAAGCTAATTGACCTTGACGGCGATGCTTGTAACCTTTGGATGAGTTGTTGTAGTTTTGTTGCGAGTAGTCATAATATTATGTAGTCGGCTGAAATCGGTGGATCAATCTGTACACGAGGTAGTAATGACCGTAGGGCTCTTGATATCTCCATCTCCATATCTCCAACGAATCCCCAAAAGAAGAAGAAAACAAAACCTGGGGTAAATATCGACATATCGTTCCAGCTTATCTTTATCACGTCACACAAAAGTAGGCGTGTCAAAAGTCCGGATATCTTTCCCTTTTCCTCTCACCTCACATCGTAACTCAACCAGGCTGAAAGGAATAAAGGACATCCAGATCAGAAATTAAAAATCGGTATCGGGATATGACTCCGTGAATGTACTCGTAGGGTATCGATGTATGGTCGGATGTAGGTGGGCATGGAGATGTATGGATGGATGGACATGTATGGCATATGCAAGTAGGGTAGCATTGAGACCCTGACTGGTAATCAGCTCATGTGGGGAAGTTTATTGCTTCGTGCGGTCCGGTTATTGATATTGAAACTTATTGAATTCCGGGGCATATTTTATGGGATTTGTGCAGGATATGAAGATATTTGTTGGGTGGTTGCGTAGGAGATATATTGTAGTTTGTCGTGTTTCTGGATCGTTGTCGTGTTTACTTTAGAGGGTTGAGATGAGCTCTCGTGTCCAGGCAGAATCCGCAGGTCTAGCTGTACAATGTACACGTTAGAAGGTGGTGTTGAGACCCTAAATAGAGGGGAAAGAAGGGTTGTATGCATGATGATTGGATCAGGGGTTTGTGACGGGAGTTTGTTCGTCGTGTCGCTATTCCAGGTGGGCTGTTTTGGCTGGCCACTACTGGGAGGCAATTGTTTCGTGGTGTTGGTGATGGTGGAGGTGATTCCAGGTGCAGGTTGTGTGTCACCTACTGACTCGAAATAATGGGGTCGAGGGGCTGAGGGGTCATGATGGATCCTTGATAGGTTGGCGTGATGGTTATCGATATCGGATGATAAGGATTGTGGAGGGACGAAATATAAGATGGAAGAGCAGCTGGTCTGTCTTGCTACCAGTAATTGAGGTTTGTTTGGAAACGATCGGATATTTGGGGATATTTGAATTCTCGTGATCTATTACCTACCCGGTCTTGGATTTCGTGGTGTGTTGTGTTGTGTTCCGCGAACGACGTTATTCTTAGGAAAGAAGACGTCGAGATTGTAAAAGCTAAAAGGTCCGGTGCCGGCGGTAGGAATGATGATGAATGATGGATGATGGATAACGGATGATGGAATGAAGTGTGTGATCTGGAGGAACTTGACTGTGTTTTGTAATGAAGTCGTGGAATTCGAATCACTTCTTGCATCATCGTCATGGATTGGGGACAAGAATGTTCCTAGCAGTTGAGAGATCATGGATGGTGCTTTGTGCTTTGTGCTTTGTGCCTCGCGACTTGATGGAGTCATTTTGTTTTTGCTTTGCAGCTGGTGCCTTTATTAATGGCAGCCCGGGGTAGTGAGAGGCTCGAGGCATTGACGTGTGCCCTTGATATTTGCACATCCGCCCTACTAGAAGTACAACCATAGAGTACTCATACAAATGCAAAGATCGCAGTTGAGGCGGAGCGCTGTAGACGATCGACAGTCTCACTACAACATCGTATGGTGAAACGCTGGCTGAATGCTGGCTACCTCCGTACTTGTGGTTGCCATGTTGTTGTGCATCGGCGATAGTGTATACCTTGCCCAGATACAATCTAGCGCTGCTAATTGCTGATCCCTACTCGTACTGGAAGCACACCTGCACTGGAGCGCTACCCGGATGATACCTTGCTGGGAAGTGAGGTGGAACTAGGTAAAGCCGGAGCCGGAGCCAGAGACAGAGCCAGAGCCAGAGCGGCCTGGGTCATACTGAAATGGCGTTCGTTGACAGAAGCCGTTGTTGTGCTTGGTGCCTTGGACAAAGAAGATACAGTATCAAGAGCCGCACGCAGCTGCGAGGGCAGTGGCAGTGGCAGTGGCAGTGGCAGTGGGAGAGATGTGGAAGATATACCTACCAAGGCGGATGGAGTGAGGACTACCAAAGAGAGGGAGAACATGCAAAGGTCTGGATGGATCTCGTGATGATATACGTCCACGAGCACGTCTAGGTAGAGTACTCTAGAATAGAAGCCGTAGGCACTCGGTACTTCTTGTGGCATTATTAACTTCCCGGTCAGTGAGATCCTCCCCCTGGAGTATTTTCTTATCTGTATCGCTGCAGGGCCCACTATCCCGAGCCCCAGCACATGACTGCTATGAACCTGGAAGCCATTCCAAACATTCACTTCACCTCTCTACCTACTTTCCTCTCCAACTTCACCCCAACCTATACTCACCTCACTTCGACTATCCTCTCCTCACTTGCCTACTCTACCCCAATACCCCCCATTCCTCATACCCCCGTACCCCCGCACCCCCCATACGCGTCTCCGCTTGCCCTCAACCTTCGCGCCGCTTTCCACAGCCACCCACCCCTGTCGTGTATAGCGGCCTCGGACTCTCTGATCTCATTCACTTATACTTACCTACCTACTCACTCATCTGCCCGCCTTCACCGTCCCTACACACATCGCTGCATCCTCTCCTCTCTTGCATCACTTATAGAAGCATCTCATCTCCGAACCTCAACCTTAACCTCACCTCGGATCAACCATCCTCTCCCGTCGCACTCGCGGTCCAGTCGAGTCATTCATTTGAAGTCGGCCAAAGCTGCGAACCTCATTCGTTCAACCTCCCCCCCCGTCCAACATCGCCCGACTGGCAGGTCGGCAGCCTCGTCTCTGCAGCACCAAACTCCAGCAGCCGATCATCGTCCGCGCCAGAGCTACTACATACACTAGTTGTACCGCCCAACTAGTCCGGGCCTGGTATACTACCACCCTGCCAGCAGCTCTGAGCTATCACATCAGGCAGTTTCCATCCGCAGCCTACCTCGATTCATCTTGAAGCCTATCATCCCAGAGCCAAGCACTAAAGGCGCCGTTGCCTTGTCTGCCTCGCCGTTGTACACTCCCAAGCCGATCGAGCTCTCCTCCTCGCTCGCTTCATCCACCTACCATCGCTCCAAACATCAAACCAGCTTTCTCAACGACAAGCTACCAAACTCGAACCTCGTTCCCAACACAGCTTCCTTTTAGTGTACATGCAGAACGAAATCACCTCGACTCTATATCCTCATCTGATCCGGTAGTACAGGAGGCCATAACACACGAGGGAGATCACCTAGTGACGCTGCGAGGCAAAGGTTGGGTTCACAAACATGGCGGATCGACCGCCCCCGTCCTCGTCCTCGTCTGCCAGGCGTACAAGGACGGTCGAGAAGGGCGATAGAACGATTGGTTCCTTCACCATCGAGGAGAAGATAGGTAAAGGCAGTTTTGCCTCAGTATATCGAGGTACTCACAAGGTAAATATGGCGAATCCGAGCTTGTTATGAGCTTCTTTGAGCTCCCATCCGCTCTACGCTACATTGAACTGGATTCGGGTATATTGAATTTGGCTAATTACTGTTTGTGATAGAAGGATGGAGCTGTCGTAGCTATCAAGTCCGTTACTCTTGGTGCGTTGAACGAGAAGCTCAAGGCCAATCTCTATTGTGAAATTGAGATCCTCAAGGCCCTCCACCATCCACATATTGTCGGTCTGATTGACTGCCGCGAGTCCAGTTCACACATACATCTAGTGATGGAATACTGTATCTTGGGTGATCTTTCATATTTCATCAAGCACAGAGCAAGCTTGCACGACAATCCCGCTCTTCGAGATATGATCCGAAAATACCCCCTCTCGCCTGCACCGATCGGCGCCTTGAATGAAGTTGTCGTACGACATTTTCTCAAACAGCTTGCCAGTGCCATGGAGTTTATGCGAGCCCGAGATCTGATGCATCGAGACATCAAGCCACAGAACCTCCTGTTGGTACCACCCCCAGATTACTTGGCTAGGTCGAATGACAAAATGATGGTGATGAGTGCGTATGAGAAGCCGGACGTGCCCATGGCTGGTCTCACATCTTTACCATTGTTGAAGATTGCTGATTTTGGCTTTGCTCGATCGCTGCCCAAAACTTCATTGGCCGAGACACTTTGTGGTTCTCCCTTGTACATGGCTCCGGAAATCCTCCGTTATGAGAAATACGATGCCAAAGCCGATTTGTGGTCAATCGGTACTGTTTTATTCGAAATGTTGGTAGGCAAAGCACCATTCCGTGCAAATAATCATGTTGAGTTACTCCGCAAGATTGAGATGAGTGAAGATCAGATCGAGTTTCCCAAGAAACTGATCATCACTTCTGGGTTAAAGGACCTTCTCCGGGCGCTCCTCAGGCGAAAGCCAGGTGAACGTATTGAATTCACAGATTTCTTCAGACACCGAGTTGTTGAGGAGCCAATACCTGGACTAGTTGAGGATGACCGACCTCAAGAATCTCGAGCACCATCCAAATCCGAGGATACGCCACTTTCACGCACTCCTTCCACTAGAAGCAACCACCAAAGGGACATGAAGATAGAGCCTTCAGGACAATCCTCTTTGCCCATAGAACGTGCCAAGACCTTTCCGCCTCCGAGGCCAATCGATCCTGATCAACAAGAACTATCTCGGACACCCTCAAACCGACAGGCATCTCGCGGGCAGATTATTGATCCGAAACGACCTTCTATGATGCCATCGGCAACAGCCCCGAATGCAGGAGCCATTCACCCTGGACGATTATCACCACAAACCCAAGGGGTGATCCGAGCTCCATCAAGACAAGATTCGGTTGATAACAACCTGAAGACTTCATCGGCGGAAAGTTTACAAAATCAAAAGGCGATAGCAGAAGCGGAGCAGGCCGTCCGAGACGCTCGTGAGTTTGTTTGGGTTGAAAAGCGAGCGGTTGAGGTGAATGCTTTTGCCGATGAATTGGCGGCAGGCCCCAATCTACAGACGAAAACCTCCATGGGAGGCCGTGCTGGACAGATCACAAGGCGTGCTACCACACAAGGGTCACCAAGTTCGGCTACAGGAGCGGTTCAGCCATATCAATCCCGCGCGGTTCAAGTTGCTCAGGGCAAACCTCGACCAGAGACAGTTCCCCAACGCCAAAATTCATTTGGAAGGTCATATGGAAGCCCATCCGCGGCTTCTGCCCTCACAAAGGTCCTTCATGGAGCGAGTTTGAGAATGTTTGGTGTCGCTTGGACTCCAGAATTGATAGGCAAGGGGTTATCGCCACCTCAACCATATGGCCCATTCCCAGCTTATCCAACACCGCATGTTCCCGTGGGTCTGCTTGGGGATGGGAAATCCAATGTCAGCATAGACGAAGAACAGAGGGTCATCAACGCAATCGAGGAATCCGCACAGCTGAGCCACGTCGTATATGGTTTCGCGGAAGTAAAATATAAGCAACTGACTCCGTTGACACCATCCATGGATCATGGACTTGGAGGAAATACCATGGACAATAACAGTGACTCTGTTGAGGATGATGGTCTTACTGTTGAAGCTGTTGTCGTGCTATCTGAAGAGGCATATGTTTTATACATTAAAGCACTATCCCTTATTCAAAAGTCTTTCGATATCTCTCGAAATTGGTATGATCGCAAAATTCGAGGGGATGGAATTGGACAGCATCCGGAATCAGCCCCGAGTGCTGATTCCAGAAAGCGTATCGATGGTGCCGTACAGTGGGTTCGTGTTCGATTCAACGAACTTTATGAAAAGGCCGACTTTGTCCAAATGAAGCTCATCGATGCGCAAAAGCGACTGCCTGAAGATCACCCTGGTCACCCCAGGAACCACCCTATATCCTTCAACGGTGATGTATATCTAAGCACACCTGGTCTCTCGGCCGAGAGATTAATGTACGATCGAGCGACGGAGATGAGCCGTTCAGCGGCCATCAATGAAATGACCACTGAAGATCTACCTGGTTGTGAACGTTCATTCATCACGGCAATCAGAATGTTAGAAGCCGTGCTGGAAACTGACGATCCTGCACCTCGACAGCGTCGTAGAGCATCCAGTCTTCGGGAGCAAGTAACTAGAGAGGCTAATGATGGTCTTATTAATGCGGAGGATAGACAGGTTATTCAAAATCGTAAGTATCCAAAATACCGACATCCATTTCTTTGTCCGCTAACAGGATAACCAGTCATCATTGGATGCAAGTCCCGCCTAAAGAAGGTAAGAGAAAAGATTGCAAGAATAGCTAAATATCAATCACCATCATCACCTCGGCCTTCTAGTCGACCTTCGAGCATCATTCATAGTGGTGGAACAACACCCACTACGGCGAATACCCCACCAATGCATTAAAGAAAATACTATTATTGTTACGCTTCACGAATTTACGGACTAGCAATTCTTTACATGGGGGGTTCTTCTTTTGCACTTGCTCTTGAGAGAGAAAGAATCTGGGACTGGATTTCCAGGTAATAGACCACAATCACCATACGTGATTCATTCTGAGGCGTTTGTCATTTTTCTTTCTCTCTCTTTACTACCAATTTGGCAATTTCTCTTTTTTCTAGTTTTAATTGTTTAGTTACCTTTAGATCCAGGATTCCACGATTTTCGGAAGGGGAATTCCTTGTATGTTGTTCTCTTTTCTATCTCAGAGGGGGGTTTCAACGGCCTGGATATCATTTGCCTCCTGCATTAGGGGATCATCTTCTTCGGAACAAGGCATGACCCGGTTTAGGAATGAAGTCTCTTTTCTAGTTATTGCACATGCATGCGTGGGCATCGATGTGGTTGCATCTTCGGTGTGAATATAGGCGTGTTTGGCATGTTTTTTTCTTCTTTCTCTTTCTCTCTTTCTCCTTGTGTATACCCTTCTGCTTTGCATCTGGACTTGGGCGTGGGAAAGATCTCTGGGTTGGGTGGTGGTAGTCTGGGAATGACATGAAATGACAGGCAGGCATGCAGGCAGAGGAAAGGGATGTCAGTGTGTCTCTCTTTTTTCCTGCTACATGCCCTCAGGGGCTAGATTATGGATTCATTTGAATTCTTCCTGGAAATTCCATTTGGGGGGAGGGGAAGGAGGGGATAAATTGGGCTCCTTTGCTGTTGGATTTTCCGGGAAAGGGGGGCTATATGTTTGGGTTTGGTTGGGTTGGGTTAGGGGTTCAATCAATGGCTTGGTGGGTTTGAGGTGGTTATGGTGGATTACAGGAGTGCTCTTTTTTGGATGGGGGATAGGGGTGGGATGTTGGGGGTTGTACTTATTGTACTGTAGTGGACTGGACCTATTTACCTCCATCTATTTGCTCTTGTGGATCCTACCTTTCTTTACCTTCACCTGTTTGCCTCTATATCCTACGTTTTATCATGCCTCTTTTTCTTCTTCTTTAAACATCTCTTGGTCGAATGTGAGAGTTTGTGGCTTTGGGGATTGTGATGGAATGATTCACACGCTGTCGAATATTCCTCTCACCTTTTCTTCCCCTCTCCTTTCCCTTTCCCTTTCCCTTTCCCTTTCCCTTTCCCTTTTCTGTTTTTTGGGGGGGAGGGGGAGTGGATAAGGCAATAGGTAGGTTATGTTCTATTCTTTCGTACCTTTCGTAAGAAAGGTACACGTATATCCCTAGGATAGACAATATAACTAGAGAGTTTATTAATAATAAGATAAAGAGGATGGATCTAGTTAATAGCTACTAATATTCTCTCATCTTTAGATTTAAGTTCTAAGTAATAAGTGTTCTTATTCTTGTTCTTATAAGACTTATATCCTTGTTCATGTATTGCTTTTATTCCTTTAAGTAATTTATTGTATCTAGTATAATAGGATGTTTGTACTTTGAATCGGTATAGATAGAGGTGTGGTTGGGACTTGGTTGTGTGGACTTGGACTTGGAGTTCATTGTGGTTAGTTGGAAGTTGGTGGGAAGGTGGGATATGTAGAGCATACCAGTCCGTGGGATTATGGGATTATGGGATTTGGAGAGGAGTAGGTAGGTTCTGGGGAGGTACTGAGGTTATGGAAGTTGAAGTGGATGGGTATAGTACTACTGTAGAATATAGAAATGTAGACATGGTATAAGCGCTTGTCTTTCGTGATGTTTGGACGGACCTTGAATGGGTATTCTGGGTAGCTCGGTAGGTGGGTAGGTATTTTGTAATTTTAGTATTCTTTGATAATGTTTTTTTTTGTTCTTTTGGATAGAGATGAGGTGAGATGAGATGCTTGTTTACTTGCTACTTGGCATGGCATTCGTTATGGTCTTCATTGGTGGTACTTGATCTTATAATTTTGTTTGTTGGTTGGTAGGCAAGAGGGTACTTGGAAGGAAATCGGTATAACGTAGGTACTTTCTGGATTTTGGAGAGAGAGAGAGTAATTACCTAGAAACCACCTGCGAGCCTGTCTAAATAGAGCCATCCATCTATACCTCCACGCACAGGTCGCCTGGCAAAAGATCACGTGCAGATAACCAGTCCACCCAGCCCAAAATCTCTTCCACACCAACCCCAAAGCGTACTAGCGCACCACTCTCCGTCCGCGCCAGGTACAAAAACCTCTTCCACACCACAACCTCCCCTCTTTCCTCTCCATCAAAAAAGCAAGGCAGCCAGCCACGACCGTCACCTCGAATTCTCATACAGTGATGCGTTGCCAGCATTCGTTCGCGAGTGTGAGGCTCCCGAGATGGATTCTACAAAACTCCTTAATAGGAAACTTGTCTCCCGTGGGTCTTCTTTGGTGAGGGCGAGGGGAGAGAGGTGTCGAAAAGGGGAGACATATTATGCGGATTGTGTGGATGTGTGTGTGTGTGTGAGGGATGGATGGGATGGGAGTTGGGAGTCATGGATATTGAGTGCGAGTGTGAGGGTGTCGTGAGTTGAGTCCTGGGCTGGTGCGCATCGTGGTGGGAGTCAAGTTCGGACTTCGTGAGTGGTGTCGTGCTGTGCGCTGAGGATGGGGTCTTCGTCGCGGATTCATAGTCAGTGATATGTTCCATCGTGATTAGTGTCAATGGATGGTTCTGCGACGACCTCATCTAAGTCTAAAGATTGAATCTGATCTAGCAGAACTGGACAGTCACGCAGGCGCGAGGCTTTCATCTTGAGCCAAGTCAGTCAGTCACATCGGTGGAAAACTCGGTGTGCGTGAAATTATTTTCATTTCCATAATTCATATCCAATTACGATTACGATTACCATTACTATCATGCTACCATTACTACCATCCATCATCTATCCAAGAATGTCGTCATAAAAATCGTAAAAGTTCGTGTCTCTATCTCCATATTTGTTTGCAGTCTCTGGCGTCCGTATCTTCTTGTCATAATCCACCTGGGACTGATCGTCATAGAAATTCGTCCAACTCGTCAGGTCGTTTCTTCTCCGCTCAGCATCTGTCCTCATGCCATCGCTTTGATAGCGACTATATCGCTCCTCATCCTCTTCTGCGTCCATGATAACGACGCGATGAGAATTCTGTCGTCCTGGCACAGCCGGCGATTGAATGACTGTCCTTCCCTTCGCAACACGCCCCCATGTGGGACTGGGGGAGCGTTGCGATCTTGGACGCGACGTCTCGCCCTCCGTCAAACTCTCAACTAAACTCGTCCATGAATCTGTACTTGTCCTTGTCTGCGTCTGCCCATGAGAACTCCTCGCATCAGGACCCATCGAAGCCGTTTTAAAGACCTTCAAAGGCGCCGGTGGCCTCACCTCATCCTTAGGCGGCGGCGTAGGATTCCTTACCTCTTCGGTCTGGGGACGCAGGCCACTACTCGGACGAGAGAATTCGGCTTCGCATTTCACACAGAGCCCCATGATGCCCTCCAGGCCGACCTTGCATAATCTGCAGATCCGGGGTTCGACATCCGTCGCAGAAGTGAGTTTCTCTACGCTCCCTGGGGAGGGGGAGTAGTATTGTGTTTTCTTGATAGCGCTTTGGGGGTTGAGGAGTTGGTTGTTTGGGAGTAGTGTCGCTGGAGTGGGTGTGTTGCTGTTGTATTTTGGGGAGAGGATGGGGAAAGAGGGTGTACCGGCGCAGTAGAAGGAGAGGATTGAGTCGGCGGGGTCTCGCTTTGTGGGTTTGCTTTTGGGTTTATTTTCCCTCGTGGGTGTTGGTGTTGAGGCTCCTTTTCCAGTCTCGCCGCCGGAATAAGAAGGCGTGAAAACCGGATGGGAGTTATGGGCCTCGTGTGAATGGGAGGTATGATCCTGTGGTCCGATTCCGGGGCTTAGTATCCCTTGCACGCCTCTTCTCGTCTCATCGAAGAAATCGGCACTTGTGTGGATGTATTCCACTAATCTCTTCGAAGCCGATTCCGACTTTTTCTTTTCATGTGTTTTTACGTTCTGGTGCTGTCTCTGTATTTGCTTCTGCAGTTGTTGCTGTTTGCTATTTGGCCAGGGCGTTATTGGTGCGGGGAGGGACTTGTAGTTATTCCGCGCATCGAGTAAGATATCGTTATTATTGACAGGTCGCGGGGGCCTGGGAAGTGGTTTGAATGGGGAGGTTACTGCTGGTAAGGATGTGGGTTTTGCTTTGGGTTCTGATCTGGGAATTTCAGGGATGGAAGGACATCTTCTCAGATTCTGGATTCGAGTTGTTGGGGCGAGGGGAGCTGGAGCTGGAGCTGGAGCTGGAGCTTGATATCCAAGTCTATGAGCATAGAATGGCGAACTTGTTGCGGAAGAGAGATCATTCGAGGACCGTGGTGGAGATACCTGTCTCCTCCCATCCTCTCTCTTCTCACCACTCAAAGTCTTCTCCTCCACTCCCCCATCACTCCCAGAACGAAACCCCCCCTTCCGCTTCAACCCCGGTGCAGCAACCGGGTATCCCAACCCACCCCTCTCATCCCTCATCCTAATATCGCATTTCCGTATCGGCACCGCTTTGCGAGGTATCTTATACTGCGAGCCTTCTGGCTCGGATTTCCGTTCTGTTGCTGTTGCTGCTGTTGCCTGTTTTCCCTGTTTTGAGCCAAATGAGGGGAGGAAGTGGAAATGTATACCACCTACCTTTTTTCGCTCCTTCTCGGCGGCTTCTGCGAGCTGTCTTTTGCGTTCGAGGTGTTGTTGTAGTGAGGATTTTTGTTGGGTGGGTGGAGGGGAGGTGGACCAGCCGCCTTGTCCTCGGCCGTGGGATTCTTCGAATGTTGTGTGGTAGATTTCCATGCTCTGGTAGTTCTGGTGAGTAGTTTTGAATGTGAGTTTTCTTTTGATTTTGTTTTTTTTTCTGGGGGGTTTAAGGGAAACGCTGGTTTTATATTGTTTTGTGGGTGTGAGGTGTAGTTGTATTTTGTAATTTGTATCTTGTATCTTGTAGTTGTGAATGTATATGCGTATGCTTCTATTTCGCTTAGAATTTGAATATTACTTTTTGTTTTATCGTTCTTTGAAAATGAGTGGAAGAATGAAATGGAAGAAAAGATATGAGTGGGGATCTAATGGGGGTGGGAGGGGAGATATGACTCTGTTCTTCATCTCCAACACACACTCTCTTTTTTTCTGGGTAAGAAAAAGATTTATTTCCGTCTACGGGAGAAGAAAGATCTAGAAAGGATAAACAACGAATCCACTCATCTGTCCCATTGTTGGGAAATATGTTGGATGAGTCCTCTTTATCCAGCTTTCTTTGTGTGGGTGAGTGACTTTTGTTCTGAGCTCATGTACGTACGATAATTGTACAGGAGATGAATGGGATGTGAACAAGTACAGTATGTCTTACAATGTCCTTGTCTGACTAGTTAGTCCGTTCATTCCATTCATTCATTCATTCATCCTCTCCCACTTGAAAGAGCCCTTTGACTTGACCCTTTGACTAAAAGCAAAACGCTCGCCGACAACGCGGCCGTGATGTCTGATGACCATGTGTATTGTCTCTTACCTATATCCGCAGCAGCATCATCAGGCTTAGTATAAAGCAAAATATCAGAGGTGGCCACCCCCTTCTTAAATTATTGACACTCACCTATAACCCTTCAACCATCTTGTTTGTTTGCTTGCTACTCATGCATTACAACATCACAAAATATTTTTATGTAAGTCCTCCGTACTTATTCATCCAGGGTCCAAAAGATCAGGTCAGGTCCGTTTAGAACATGAAACACGTCTGTCTGGCTACTGTGCCCAAATTCTTTGTTGGTGGTTGGTGAGGCGAACTAACTTTGTTCATATCCATGACAAATCCAGCACACTCATTTCCCAATCGAATGGAAATCTTCAACACATCACGCGATGAGAAGAGAGATGATGGGTTCATTTCTTCCTATCCGTGATCAGCATGTAGGTGGCAAGTGCCCGTTTTTGGGATATCGGTCATGTTTCAATCCAATCCCAGAGGGGTTTTTGTTCTGCGCCGCTGGAGAACACCGCCGTTCGCCGTTTATTTGGGGCGAGTGTTGTTTTGTATGGTATGTAAATGGAGTAGGTTCGCTGACTGTTCTTTGTGTATGACTGTGGTGGCGGGTTTTCTGTTCCGTTTTTGTACCGTTGCGCGTTGGGTTCTTTGGCGGGCTTTGGTTGGGTTGGGTGTTGGTTGTGTGGTTCTATATAAGCGATGAAAACACTATCTGTACCTGACCTCCCAGACGGTAATAGTATTACTGGGTTGGAAATAAGCGTCTAGATATTTATATCGGAAGATCCTCGTTTTAAGATGAAAGTTCAATGTATATAAACGTCTGTCTATAGCACCGTTTTCTTTTTCTGATTTTGATTTTGTAGTGTTGGAAGAGTTAATATGTACTCTACGATATGTTTCATGAGTCCTAAATATATAGATATAATATATGTACTTTACAGCGTACTACAAGGTCCCCATAAGTATTGACGGCGGAATTATACGTAATTAAATATTTTTAATAGAGTTGATTATTATAAGGAGGAAAAGAAACTTTCTCAGTGCTTGCTAGATAATATCCAGTGTTTTGAAGAATAGTCACAGTAAATGCGGAACTACTTCAACGGGTCATGTGTTAGGAAGTATTTTCGGCGTCTGGTTAGCTGATGGTAGATTCTGAGGATGTGTGGTGGAGTTGGTGGTGTGCGATTGCGCTCATCGGGATCATCAAACAGAGGCGCACACATTATACAAGTCGATTTCCCGAGCGCAGAAGAGATCATCTCACCGAAATGGAAGGTTGGGACTAGTCATCCCCAATCTTCTACTCTCAGAATTCACGGTTATGAGAATGGAATTCTATCGTGACCTTGCAAGATACCTCGCTTCGCTCCCATACCGTATGACAAGAAGAATCTCACATCCCGTCGTGGGGAGATATCATCTCATACAACACACTGTCCAAGAAGACAAACTCCCAGAACCTACCCCGCATGGCCAAGGACAAGAGAATTTCCTGGAGTGCGTCGAGTCCAAATTAAAGACTGGATTGAGGAAACTCATGCCAGAGCTCTCGAGTACATCAGACGTAAACCGAGGGGATCCCCTTTGATACTGGGATTATCCAGACGAAGGTGATGGAGACTGCTTGTAAAGTATAGATCTGCTGTTGAGCTTTCGGTTGGTGGCAGGAAGATACCGCGGTTTGGGAACTTTGATGTGCGGAAGTATCCCTATATTGACGCCTATGGTGTGAGGGGATTGCAATATTTAAGAGTTGTGGTAAGAATACCTGAACGCTGATTTAAATGGCTACGTAGATGTTACTGCTTCCGCGTGTGCAGATTTATTCGCAACAAACTCAAGATAGAGAAAAACGCCAAGTTGGCATGGTGGAATAAGAGGCTTCATTTGACTCTATAACAAGTATGCTCCAATACTTAAGCCTCCTCATAAGAAATAGTAATCCTTAAGCCATACGGAGGAAGTCATCGTTATCATCACAATTTCGTTTGCCGGATCTAGGAGATTGGATTCTGGTTGGATTGCTGGATTTTTGGATTGCTGGTGTAACAACCCAGGGGTTGGTAGATGGTGAGATAGAAGGAGAGAACTTCCTACAAAACCCCCGCTCCTATTATCTACCTTCTAAACCGCCGTATAATAGCCACCTATTCCTCACAAACTTCCCTCAGAATCCTCGCCTCCAGAAATAACCCAACAATCCAGCTTAGATATAACTAACAGCCCGTCTGGGCGGGAACAACAAATCCCTCTCCTCCCTCGAAAGATGCACCCCCAACCCACCCATCTCATCAATCCCCAAAAACCCCCTCCCCTCCAACCCCACTACCCCATTCCCCTTAAGCATCAACCTCTTCCCCCCCTCAGCGAGAAAACACACATTCCCCTCCCTATCTCTGCCAACCAAAAAGTTGAGGCCCTCATCATCCGCATGCAACACACAGCCCTCATAAAAAGCGGGTTGGAACGCGTTGCAGACCGCATCGGGGATATGCAGCACGTCTCGCATGATGATGGTTCGTGTTGCTGAGGGGTCTTGTCGACTGGTGCGCACTTCGAGTTCGACGGTGCCGATGCCTTGGATTATGAGGCCTGCGGCGGTTTCGATGAGGGGCGTGTAGGTCTTGAACCAGGCGAGGTCGCGGGCGTAGTGTGTATCTCCGTCTACTATACACCAGTCGGTGCAGATGCTGGTCATGGGTGGTGGAGCAATGATGTGAGGGACTGCGGCTGTGGGTTCGTTATCACCAGGAGGGGCATTGAATGGGTTTTCATTTTGTAGAGTGTTGGTTGAGGCAATGGATGTCTTTGGGGAATCTGGCAAGGGGATTTCGGGAATGGTGTCGAAAGGGTTGCGTTTCTTGATTGATGTTTTCTTTTGCTGTTCTTTTGGTTTATGCGTTGAAGAGGATTTCCATTCGTTTGCCATATTGAATGAGGTGTTTCGGTCGGCTAATGAAGATTGATTAGTTTCTGTATACTGACTGGTTGAGTGGTCAAGACATACATCAGGTATATTGAGGGCGTTTGAGTTGAGAGGAAGACAAGTTGACGAGCTTTAAGAGTACTTCGTAGTGGTAGTATTGGGGTCCCTCCAAGGGTTTGCCTGTTGCAATTGGAGAGTGAGATGAAAAGCAGAAGGAAGTAAAAGATATATACCCATATCGATCCTGCACTTCACTGCTGGTACTTTCCACAGTCTTCTCCCCTATTCACTATGAGTGAATTCTCACATACTCGATTTAGTATGAGTGAATCTTGCATGGTGAAGGAAGTTGAATTATCTAGAAACTCCCATGGAATCTAGTGCCCTAGAGTCACGTGGCGATTTTGACTCTCATATTGAGATTGAGATTGAGAATCCCTATCGGATAACAAAAGCGATTCTCCCTCTCTCGTCTAACAATATCAGGCGTTTGATAGTTCTAGAGTGTAAGTAATCAAAATGTTGGCCTAGATATGTAGAGAAAATGAGTCCATTTGTTTCACTAATTTGTAATAAATCATTTGTATTGAGATTCGAAAGAGGTTATTTTTGATCTTTTAAAACATAGAAGAAGCTTGCCCTAAATTTATCCAACTAGAACGAGAAAACCGAGTATCGTCGGTCGCCGGGCACATTTGAGATCCTTGGGCGGAAAGGTCGAGATACAAGTGCCCATATTGGATTCATGAACTGATATAATTTCCGGCCGTATTGGGGACGTTTTTTGAAGATGAACCAGTGAATGCCATAAATGACACCAGCACCAAGTCCAACAATTGCAACATGAGTGGTCGTGAGGGGACCCTGCGTTTTATCGTGCTTTCCCCTCTTTCGGCTGTGGGGTTTGGAAGAACCGGTACTCGAGAAGCTGGATTTGGACCACACGGCCGAGGGCCGTTCAGTTTTGGAATTGGCTATGTTGGAAGGATTCTCAGTGAGGTCGTCCGTTTTCTTGCTACTCCACCACGATGACTCAGTCTCGTCCGACTTGAAAGGATTTTTGATGGTGTTGTCCGTCTTCTTGCTGCTCCACCATGATGACTGAGCTTTTGGCTTGGCGTCTTTATCCTTGGATAACGACTTCTCAGGAGTAAATTTATCGGATTTGCTCGTAGGGTCCATGTAAGGTGAATGATCCTCAGGAAGGCTCGTTCTGGAGGAGCTGGCGCTGGCGCTGGCCGTGCTTTTGGAGCTTCTTTTGGAACTCCTGTCTTTCTCTTTTCTGTCTCTATGTTTCTTTTCCCTCCTCCTGTGCTCCTTCCCCTCACGATCACGATGACCATCTTCGGATTCTCCCATGCTGAATGATCTGATCTGAGATAATTAGCATTCAAAATGCTTCTTCCGTGGGCAATCAATCTACCTTGGTGTTGTGACGGTGTATAAGGTAGTCGGTGCTCAGTCGGGGATAAAAGTTGATGTACGAAGTGGAGTAGCGGTCTGTATTAAATATTCAAGGAGAGTGGGCCAACAGCCTCAGGTTGCGCTGTTCCCTGTTCCGTTGTCCCAGTGGGGAGTCGATAAGATTGTTTCGGATGAGCCAGGGTAACAACAGGCGCCTACTGGTAACAGGCGCCTACTGGTACCAGCTGTTGTAAATACTCGGTAACCCTAACCCTAAGGTAGGCAAGGATATAGGTAAATACATATATAGTAATGCGTGTGTATATATAGGTAGGCTACCGAGTCCCCACAGCAATTGTTTTGGTTGTACGAGTCTCTCTAGTACCTAAGATGTTGTCATTTTCATTAGCTGTAGGTACAGTTGTATGCGGAGCAATGCGGAGACTTCTTACTCGCTCGTACAACATCCCCCTCCAAATACGAGAGAATCCACCTGCCGTGGTCACACACAAGATGCTGAGCATTCCCGTAGCCATCGCCATCGCATTTTGAAGTCAATTCCTATCTCTACCAGTTGTTAGTGGTATCCCGCAATCGAAATGGTCGAAAAGAGCATAGAAAAGACGCGGGATCAGACGAACGAACCCCGTCGTGATGTAGAATTGGGCCATACCCCACCTCGCCACTTCTCCCCATTCGGGTACAGCTCCGCTAACAATGTTAGGCCAACCCAACATACTATCGCGACTATGACTTCATAATAAACGCCACGCCCACTCCCCCGCACACATGTTGTTGCTTCAGAAGAAAGTGAATTCAGTTGGATTGTTAATTGAATTGATTCACTCAATTGGAATAGGCTAAGGATAAAAAACTGGTATTCGAAACACACAACCCTCTTCACACAGAACTTCTAAAGCCCTGCCATTCAGATCCAACATGCAATCACCTTCCAACCCCCCCGCAATCGATATTTCAACCATCCTCGCGACCTCCAAGCCAGATCTCAAGCCATACGAAGACCTGTACCGGCACCTCCACAAGTTTCCCGGAATCTCACTCCAAGAACATCGAGCTGCAGAAACAGCAGCCAAATACCTTCGCGACCTCGATGGCTTCGACGTGCGCACCAATATTGGAGGAACAGGATTGATTGGTATACTGAAGAATGGGGAGGGAAAGACAGTTCTCCTCCGCGCAGATACCGACGCCCTTCCAGTAGAGGAATTGACGGGTCTTCCCTATGCGAGTAAGAAGAGGGAGGTAGATATCGAAGATGGCATTGAGAAGCCCGTGATGCATGCCTGCGGACACGACGTCCACACCACCTCCATGTTGGCAGCTGCAAAGGCGCTACATACTTCGAGAGAGCATTGAAAAGGGACTTTGATCACTCTATTCCAGCCGAATGAAGAGCGAGGCGGCGGAGCGAAAGCCATGATTGCCGATGGCCTTTATGATCCGAAGAAACATGCTTGTCCTATTCCAGATGTCGTTCTTGGACAACATGTTTGGCCTGCAGAAGCTGGAACAATTGGTACACGACCTGGTATTTTTGGTTCTGCGGCCGACAGTTTCCGTGTTACGGTTTACGGAAGAGGTGGGCATGCAAGTCAGCCTCATACGACGATAGATCCTGTCGTTATGGCAGCGCATATCATCGTACGACTCCAAACGATTGTCTCTCGAGAGGTAAATCCTCGGGAAGGGGCTGTTGTTACGGTGGGTAGTGTACAGTCTGGTACGACGGAAAACATCATCTCCAGCGAGGCAACTATCAAGATCAATGTCCGCACTGTAACACCAGAAACGAGGATCAAAGTCCTAGCTGCAATCAAGCGAATCGTAAAAACCGAATGCGAAGCAAGTGGTGCACCAAAGGAACCTCTTTGGGAGCCAACGAGTTCCTTCCCATTCACATTGAACGATGAAGCGGTTACCAAAACCATCGCAACAGCTTTCACCAAGCAATTCGGCGATAAATATGACCCCGAAGCTCCAGTTCTAGGTGCTTCCGAAGATTTTGCTATCCTCGCAACAGAGGCCCCGAATAAAAATGGTGGAAAGGGAGTTCCTTACACCTATTGGACTTTTGGTGGTACTGACCCTGAGAAACTCAGGAAAGCGAAGGATTCGGGGGATTCTATTCCCATGAATCATAGTCCTTATTTTGCACCTGTGATACAACCCACGCTGAGCACGGGCGTGGATGCGTTAATTGTTGTTGCTCTGAGTTATTTGGCGTGAAGATAGTGAGTAATTAAATATTTTTGGTTCGGATTCCTTTGATTTCGATGGTTCATATTTGCTCCGGGAGCTACAAAAGCTGAAGCAACTCTTTGATCAAGTACTTATCAATTAATTAATATCTTGTTATTTATTCCAAGTTCTAACTATTCTGATGTTGTAACTAGTCATTAAGACTCACCTGAGATATTTCAAAATATAAGATAGAAACCCTCACAGACCTCACTTTCAACATTAACAATCCCATGTTAATTCAAACCCCCGCCCACCTGCGGTCTCATGAACACATCATAAAAGCATTCTTGACCACTAATCCACCTCTCTAACTGTATTCGAAGAAGCAGTACAGATGCCATCCTACACTACTAGAAGACACACACGTCCCAAATCCAGCGCCGACTTACGGAACCTTGATCCTGGGGCTCTGTTTGGTGTCTTTGGTAAACTTATATTCTGGGGAAAGCTGGCGAGGAGAGCATCGGGTATGATGTGGTTTTCAGTAGGTATGTTGTCTGGAACTTCTGGAAGCCGTGGAAACTATCCATGGGGGTACGAAGGAAGTAAGATGCGCATGCTATGAATGCTGCGAATGGGGGGCATTGATTGGGGGAGTTCAGATCATTTGCTTTATTCTTGGTGGTGAATATTGATCGTACATTTCAATAGTAGTTTAGGGAAGTTGTTTAGTTGGGTTTGTATCTTGACTTAGAAGTGTTGAGTGTCTGTACTGTAGTTTAGGTAAGTGGTATTTCTATAAAGAGGATACTGTAGTCAATCATGTTAGTGCACTTGATCGCAATAGCTAGGTGTGTAAATGTTACTATTGGCAGTTGCGAATCTAGACAGACTACTTTAAGGATCGGAAACTTCTACGTGTAGATCTGAAGATTTTCTCGCTCCGTGAGTTTGTCAGGTTGATTTAGTAATTAGATATGATGTCAGTACAGTTCGGGAATCCCGATTTTGCAATAGGAGAAAATCATTCCAAATAATTTGAGGATTTCGTGTTTATATTTACGTGTTATGAAAATCTCCTAGATTTCTCAACTCAATTGAAGCTCATTTGGCTTTGCATTGCAGGAGATGGGAATTATGTTAAGCGTGGGACATTCCATTTCTGTTGTGGCATTTTTTTGAAACCCCTAAACTCCCAGAAAAAAGGCTTGAGGGTTTCTATTTTCCCATGCTATCATGCTATTTTTCGGGTTGATCGGTCATTATCTGGCGGCGATCCCACGAGGCCCACAAATATTGCGGATGCAGAGACTATTTATATCCTCACATCATGAGAGAATACCGCCAATACGCTTCGCCGACAATTAACACATCAAAGCAGTTCGTCAGCCAAGACTTATTTGCAGTGAGGAATTTTCCGTCGTTTTTCTTAAGTCTGTTGGCGTGTGGTTCAGGTGAGATTACTGGAGGGGCCGTTATGGGGAAATGTGAGCCCTGCTTAAGTGGTAAATATTGATATAGGGCCAACATCAGCTTTCCCATAGATCTCATCTTTCTTTCGCATCATCATCATTTTCTTGATCAGCCTGTCTTTTCTTTTCGTGTACCACATTCGCTTATTATTATTCACAGTCACTCTTTTTTCCCTTTTTCTTCTTATACCTTCATTTTCAACTATAATCCTTGTCTTTTAAACACAGACAAAATGTTGTTCTCATCCGTCACTATTCTCACCTGCTTGATTGCAAGCCAGGCAGCAGCAGGTTCGTTTACTCCCCAAACTTCAGAAGAAGAAAAATATAGTTATCTAACCTCCAACCCACAGCTCCAACGGGACTACCACCTCCTAATTCGGTAAACGTAACATCAGCGACCCAACCAGAAGCAGCAAATAAACCAGTAGAGACGCAGCCAGAATCAGCGGGTTCGTTACCCCCCAGCCTTCAGAAAAAGAAGATAGTTATCTAATCTCCAACCCACAGTTCCGACACCACAACCACAACCAGATTCAGTAAACGTAGCAGGAGAGACACAGCCAGAGTCAGAAGATCTACCAGGAGAGCCACAGCCAGAGTCAGAAGATCTACCAGCAGTGCCAGAATCAGAGTCAAAAGATCTACCAGCAGAGCCACTACCAGATTCAGTAAACGTACCAGCAGAGCCACTACCAGAGTCAAAAGACCTACCAGCAGTGCCAGAATCAGAGCCAAAAGATCTATCAGCAGTGCCACAATCAGATTTAAAAGGTCCCCTAGGAGAGCCACAACCAGAATCAGCAGATCAACCAGGAGAATCACAAGAACCAATCGATCTAATGGACCTACTACTCAACGGCCCACCACATGGGGTCCCAGAAGGTCAACCACAAGAAGCAAATGAACCAATAGATCTCATGGAACTACTACAAAACGGCCCACCATCTGAAAACCCAGCAAATCTACAAGAAGACACACAAGAACCAGGATCTCTATTGGACCTCCTCCATGAAGGCCCGCCATCCGTAATGCCATTCGACCCAGCCGCATCCTCGGGCTGCGGTAACGTCGTAACCATCTGCAACACCATGACTGGCGAATGCAAAGAGACGAAGGAGTGCTCGGCTACTATTCCTATCATGGGTGCTGAGGATGGCGAGGCGGCCACACATGGAACTGATAATGACCACACCAACGACCATACCAATGACCATGAGCATGAGCATGACCACGACCAGTGAGTTTTGCTTTTCTTCTTCTGCTTCCCTGTTCTTCTCGCGGTACCTGTGGATATGAGGATGTGAAGACGTAGGAAGAATGGTGCTAATGGGATTCTATAGTGACCACGACCACGACCATGATCACGATCATGACCATGCTATTATTATCTCCGGAAACAACATTACGGTTAACATGAACTACACCGTTGCTAATCACGACCATGGTAAAGCCGACTCAGATGCATTGAAGCTATAGGAGGAATTGGACCGAGATCGGGGGATATTTTGATGAAGAGTGTTCTTTTACAGCTGTACAATCTTTAGTGTGATTGGGCTCCTCTTGGGATCTGGTGTTTGAGAAGGATGGGAATGTTTGGTGACAGTTTGGTGATTGAAGTTTTATGGAGTAGGAGTTTTTATTATACAAAAATACTTATTAGAGAAGCGACCTTACGATATTGATTTTAATAGATGCATCTTTATTTCAAATGTATAATTTTGAATTTTTCATTGATGTACTGAACATGAAATGATGAATCGGGCCCTCATGTGAAGACGTCTGTGCTATGTAGGATGAGGTGTGAAGGAAGTACCTCCAAATTAATCACTGGAGCTCATGAATTTTGAGGACGTATCTCGACATCGTGGTGCGTTGAGGTTTTTGCTGTAAGCTTGTATATACCTGTATGGGCTTAACTGTTACCTTGACGATCAAGAAGGTGACAGTATATAACTGTCTTATCTGTCCACGAAAATTGAAAGCTTAGCGAATTAGTTGGAGTTAGTAGTACTCCGTAATAACAACGTGTTGCTTCACTGCCACTTTTCCTTGCAGCAGAAGAGTCCGTATGTACGGGAAATTTCCTTTGGGGTTATCCCGGCTACCAAATACCAGGTACTAGACAGGCTTGTTGAAAATACCTGCAAGTACAGTACTTGATGGTACTGCATGTCAGGAGTTAAATGCGAAACCAACTGCGAAAGTCTCAATATTTTACAGATCAATGTAGTGCCAGGCAAAGAAGCCTATTTCGTCAGGATATGTAATCCCTTCTCACCCCATTCTCCATTCTCCACTCCAAGACTCCCAATTACCAAACACGATTCAGCTCAAGAACACTTCAGCTCACCTCTCACACATTTCTGAGATGAAGTACACTACCCTCATTCTCACTCTGTGCCTCGCGACTCGCAGTCTGACAAGTCCTCTACTTGCCCCAGTCGTTCTCCTATCTGGCTTGGGACTTACGATATCTATCGCAGGGTGCCGTTACATTTAAAAGTCTTGGTGGGGGGAAATCCATTGTGATGTAAATATGGCTGGAGGCCATTCAGCAGGTCAGAGGAAAATAAAGACAGAATCTCATCGGCATTTCTTTTGCTTAGGTGGTTGAGCGCAATGATTGTTATATTCTTACATGGGTTGTCCTTCAGTTCTTCTGTGATTTGGAGCACAGAAGTTTATACGTGTGGTATATATCCACAATTAACGCTACATGACGTATTTGGACTGGACAGCATACGTAGCAGTATTGAGCACCACTGCCATATAGATTGATATAGGAAACTCTGTCTCTTTGAACACCTCAAACCAGCTTCAGAGTTTCCTCTCTGCGTATACTGTCAACCACACGACAATCTCCATTGCATCGGCAAGAGCCGAATGGGCCTTGAGCACTCCAAGAACAAAAATGATGAAAGCATAAATGTATAAGTCCCCAGCAATGGATGTGGAGTTAGGAGATGGAGATGATAGCACGTACATTTTCAACAGTTAGCTAGACTCCTTTCTTTGTGGTGATGTGTTCTGTGAAAAGGAGAGAGGTTGGCTTAGGCTTGTGAATAGGGGTCTTTACCGTCTTTCGCTAAAAGCGGCAGTCTGTTGAGCATAGAGTTCCGCTAACGCAGGAGGGGTAAACACTTTGGCATTGACAACGGAAACGACGAAATATTATCGCAGAAACAACTATAGCCAAAGCAGAAGAATATCTGTTGAGAATATATCATCTTTTCTAGACATGTACCGTAGAATGCTGTGTCTCAAAATGCCCTTTCCATGCATATTGCATAGATGTGAAGGATGGAGGGTACGGTAAAGTGTTGAGGTGAAAAAGCTGGGTCGACGCCTCGCTGTTTCCCTTCCGAGGAGCTCCCACTGGACAACCGACACGAAAATGCGGTGGGCACGGTCCACATTTTGACCGCCTTTGCCTTGGGAGAGGAAAGGTCAAAACGTCTCTGATTTCTACCAGGAGCTCCTTTTGTTTTTATTAAAACTCCAGACATCCCTCTCCTCCTCTGGACATCGACATCCTCTTTGTAAAGCCAATTGAGGACCACGCGACCATGTCCAAACCCCAGGGTACTAGCAGCTCTGAGAGTGAGTTTGAGTTCATCGACACTCCCAAAGTTCAAGCTCCAAGTTTTGAGAAATGGGAAGAGTGTGGTGTAAAAACCACGTCGGTATGTGCAATCCACTCTGCTTGGTGACACTTGTTATGTGTCTCTCTGCAATTCCTTCCCCAGTTCTGCTGCCTGCGAGGTCATTGCAATCCATTGGAACCTAGCTAACTGTCTATAGTACCCAGCTATCAAAAATGCTCCTCTACCAGCAGATGGCTCAGGAAACGACCACTTCTCAAATATTGCCCTCATTGGTCTCATCGTCGTTGTGCCAACATACATGTCATGGAAGGTTGGAGGTGGCCTCAAGACTAGCATCTTCTTTGGTCTCTTCACCACAGTTCCAATCTTGATATCTTTCTGGTATCTCGCTTCGTCCTTTAGTCCTCGAAAGAACGAGAAGGTTTCTCTTCCAGGTCGCCCAATTGAATACTATCTCACCTTCAAAAATGCGGCGGACAAGGCCAAATACCACGGAAAGACCAAGATTCCTATGGAGACTTTCTACGAGTTATACTTCGATGGAGGCGTCGACTTCAATGGCGATGCTCTTGAGGTTATGGAATACAGACATGATTGGGCAAACTTCCAATTTACCGTTGGCTTGTTCAAACACGTCTTCTTTACTTTCGCCCCTGAAGTTATCATGCACACACGCTCCCAAGGTACGGACTTCTACTAAGAATTGTGGAGATTGTGCTAATCAAAATGTAGATGAGGAACAAGTACGTGACCACTACGACCGTGGTGATGATTTCTACGGCTGGTTCCTGGGTCCACGTATGGTTTACACCTCTGGTATCATCTCCGACCCTACTCAAGAAGAAACTCTCGAACAACTTCAAGACAACAAACTCGCCGTTATCTGTGAGAAGATCGAACTCAAGGAGGGCGAACGCTTGTTGGATATTGGATGCGGATGGGGAACTCTTACCAAGTTTGCCAGTGCCAACTACGGCGCAAAGGCTACCGGTATTACTCTTGGTCGTAACCAAACTGCTTGGGGTAACGCTGGTCTCCGAAAGGTTGGCATTCCTGAAGAGCAAAGCAAAATTCTCTGCATGGACTACCGTGATATCCCAGTCCCAGAAGGAAAGTACAACAAGATCACTTGCGTCGAAATGGCTGAGCACGTTGGTATTCGACACTTCCAAACCTTTTTGAGACAATGTAACGACATGATGGCCGATGACGGACTTTTCTTCCTCCAAGTCGCAGGATTGAGAAAATACTGGCAATATGAGGATCTCACCTGGGGTCTTTTCATGAACAAACACGTTTTCCCTGGTGCTGATGCATCTGTCCCCTTGAACAACTACATTGCTGGGTGCGAGAGTGCTGGATTCGAGGTCAAGCACATTGATACCATTGGTGTCCACTACTCGGCAACCCTCTGGAGATGGTACAGAAATTGGATTGGAAACGGTGACAAGGTCAAGGCCAAGTATGGAGACAGATGGTTCAGAGTAAGTTTTCGTGATATGATTCTGTAAAACACCCCATACTAACTTTTATAGATCTGGACTTTCTTCCTCGCCTACTCTACCATTGTCTCCCGTCAAGGATCCGCAACTTGCTACCAAATTACGTTAGTCAAGAACATCAACTCTAACCACCGTATTGAGGGTATTGGAAGTCAGTTCGGAATCCAGGCCGCTCTCGCTGCCAGCAAGAATGCTGCTAAGGCACTGTTCCCTAAGAACGTCAACTGAAGTGACCCCAAGAGAATTCTTGGGTTAATTCATTCGCCTGCCAATTAGTTGGGATGTTCATTTGCTTGTTAGGTTGATTGTCATTATACCCAGTTAAAGCAGTGACATCATGCCACGAACGCAAGGAGAGGTGTCAGTTGGAATTTACGATAACAAGCTCAAATAGCTGTTATGTACCTGTTGTTACAGATCATGGAATCTGCGTAATGAAATAAAGAAGAGCTGCCTGTGGAAACTAGATCCACTCCTAAGGTGGTGTAATAATGGAAGATTTAACCTGACAAGAGTTTGTAAACTTGTGAACAGTGAATTAGTAGATGAGTGACTGTCCTATAGCAGAAATTGAGAGTCACCGATTTCCTAGTAGGTGACAGCCCAAACTTCCTCCACCTGTAACTCTTCACATATTCCGACGATCCAATCCAATCATACAAAACTTGGTTTTCCCTGGACCTTGGTTGGTGGCTAGTGCGCTTTTATTGGCGTCAGCCTTCAGCCTTCAGCCTCATTAGCTGGTCCGAGCACCGACTGCTGGCGTATTGCGACTCTTCCGATCTTAAGATACGATACTGCACAATCCAACCTACCCATTTCATTTTACACGCTGACCATCAACCCCGCCTTTTGCAAATGTACTCGGGGTCAAATTCCTTCCTGGGCGGCCAGAGTGGTCGTCCAGGCGGTCCCCAACAGTTCAACTCCTTTCCTGGGCAGCAACAACCCCAACAACAGCAGCAACAGCAACAACAGCCAGGTGGCTTCCTCAACTCCAATCCAACAGGCTATGGAGTTGCGCCTTTGCAACAGCAGTATACAGGGTTTCCTATGCAAAGCCAGCAAACGGGATTCCAACCTCAGCAGCAGCAGCAATTACAGCCTCAGCAGACAGGTTTCCCGGGTCAGCAAAACCAAGCTCAATATGGAAATCCCCTACAACAACAGCAAAGCTTCCAAACTGGAGCTCCTCCGATGCCGCAGATGCCGCAGCAGTTCCAGAATCAGAATCAACCTCCGGTGCCACCCCAAAAGCCTCAACCTACAGGTTTCGCCCAGATGGCAGATAGCTTTCGAACTACACCAGCAGCTCCCGCACGAGGCCGACGAGCATCCAAAGCGAAGTCGGGCACCAAAATTCCAAATATAAGATTATCTTTCATCACGGCGCAAGATCAGGCAAAGTTTGAGACTCTGTTCAAATCAGCTGTGGGGGATGGCCAGACGCTTTCTGGAGACAAATCGCGGGACTTACTAATGAGATCTAAGCTTGATGGAAATATTTTGTCTCAAATCTGGTAGGTTCTGGTAAATATTTGTCGTCTAAACTGGTGTACTGACTTGAATAGGACGCTGGCAGATACCACGAGATCCGGACAATTACATTTCCCAGAATTTGCACTTGCAATGTATCTTTGCAACTTGGCTCTTGTGGGCAAAACACTTCCTTCAAACCTCCCCGATAATATCAAAAACGAAGTTTCAAGTATGGTGGATATAATAAACTTTGGAGTGGTCGACGATGCGCCGGAACCTGCTCTTCAGACGAACGCCCCGAGCTTCGATACTCGACAAAATACCACATCCCCACCCACTATCCAACAACCCCAGCCAATGCCTTCAAACTCCGCTCTTTTGACAGCACAAATGACTGGATTTCCAGGACAGCAGAATAGTTTCGGAGGTGGCTTTGGTGGACAACAACAGCCCGGCTTCCAGCAACCAATGCAAACAGGTTTTAACCAACCCCAACAGACAGGCTTGCAACCAAATCCAACTGGATTCAGCATGTCTGGTTCATCGACATCCAGTTATACAGGCCCTAGACCCCCGATGCCTCCAATGCCTACAGGATTTGGGTCAAATCAAGGCTTATCGCCCGCGCAAACTGGAATGGGTGGTATGATAGCTCCATTGAACAGTCAACCTACCGGAATGCCGGGGCAATGGGGATTAGTTAATACTCCAGCTACTGGTCTACCAAATATCGACTTGTTGCAACAAAGAATGATGCCGCAACAAGGTCGTGAACAAGGCTCGTTCAATACAGCTGGCTTGACAGGTAACGCCGTAATCCCTTGGGCAGTTACCAAAGATGAAAAGCAAAGATATGATGCTATTTTCAAAGCCTGGGATGGTTTCAATAAAGGATTTATTGGAGGCGATGTTGCCACTGAAGTGTTCGGGCAGAGTGGACTAGCAAAATCGGACATGGAGCGAGTCTGGACATTGGCCGACCATGGCAACAAGGGAAGACTTAACATGGATGAGTTTGCGGTTGCTATGCATTTGATTTACCGAAAACTAAACAACTACCCGCTACCTGCTCAACTCCCACCGGAGCTCGTACCACCATCTACCCGTAACTTTAATGACTCAATTGGCGCTGTCAAGTCGTTATTACACCAAGAGTCTGACTTCCGAAAGAACTCTGGTGCACGCCTGTTGCCACAAAAGACTGGAGTCAGCTATCTCAAAAACCACTCCTTCAAAGGCAACTCCAGCGCTGTTGGGACAGGACGAAAAGATGCTACAGTCTTCAAGAACAATGATGATGACGTTGGTTACAAGTCTAGTGCTCGTCGAAGATTGGGTGGCGCAAGTTCTCCACGTCCAGATTCCCCATCATCTACCTCGAGTGATGATTTGTCTTTGGATCAGCTTCGGAAGAAGATTCGTGAAAAGCAGGTTCTTCTAGATGCCATCGACTTCAAGGACGAGAAAGCTGCCGATGAAGATGATCTTCTTGATCGGCGAGACCGCCGTGAAGCCGATGATTTATATCAGCGTATTCGCCGACTCCAAGAAGACATTGACAGCCATCCCGATTCAGCCCTGCGAAGTGTTGACTCTGGCGCTGAACGTCGTGCTCTTAAACGCCAGTTGCAAAGTCTAACAGACAAATTACCCGAAGTTGCATCAAATGTGAGAAGAATAGAACGAAGCATTGCGGACGCAAGACTGGAATTGTTCCGTTTGAAAGACGCAAAAGCCCATCCTGGAAGTGCCTCGACGGTTGTTGGAACTGGCCCTGGAGGTTCAGTTACTGAATCTGATAGGCTGAAAGCCAGAGCGAAGGCGATGATGCAACAGCGAAGCGCAGCACTAACTGGAAAGAAGATTGACACCCCTACTGAGGATTTCGGTGGACCGCAACGTTTGGATGAAGAAAATTCTCGAATCAGAGACGAGAGAGAAAAGAACGAACGCATGGTCAAAGATGTCGAAGAAGGCGTTCGAGAGTTTTCCCGTAGCTTGGAGGATAGTCTTGCTGAAGGTGGCGAGGACAATACCAGTGAACATGAGAAGCGTAGATGGGAGGACGGTCTGGGAGTTGAGGATGAGGTCAAGGATTTTATTTTCGATTTGCAGAGATCGAGCAGATCTGCCAAGGTCAGAAAGGGCGATCATCGAAGCACGCGTGATGCACCTCGTACAGAGTCATCCCGATTTGATAGCCCTGCGACTTCTACTAGATTTGAGGAGCCTGCCGCAAAACCTGCTCCAGCACCTGCCGCTGGAGGGGGCACTTATTCCCAGCACAAAACAGCCGAGGAGCGAGCAGCTTATATCAAGCAACAAGCTGAACAGCGGATGGCAGAGCGTCTTGCTGCTCTCGGTATAAAGGCTCCTTCTAAACCTGGTGAAACCACGCAGCAAAGACTTGAACGAGAAAAGAATGAGAGAGCTGCCAAATTACGAGAAGCTGAAGCGGAGGATGCTAGACGTGAAGCAGAACGTCAAGCTAGAATTAACGAAGAGCAAGGCATTCCACCACCAGCGGCTGCTCCTGCTCCCCCAGCACCAAGATCTGCAAAGAAAGCTCCCCCAGCACCAGTAACTCGGAAAGCTGCTAGGAGCGATGCAAGCGAGCGCAGAGCTGAGGAGGAAGCTCGTGTTCTGACGGAACAAAAAGCACAGCTTATTGCCACGCAAGAGCTCGAGTACGTATCTCTTTTGAGTAGTCTTGATACTTTTACTAACACAAACAGGGATGATGCGAAACGTCAAGAGAAAGAGCTTGCTGCAGCTCGTGAAGCTTCAGAGGCTCGCACTAGAGCTCTGGAGGAGCAAGTGAAAGCACGCAAAATTAGCAAAGAAGAGGAGAAGCGTAGAAAGATGGCAGCAAATGCGGAGGCCAAAGAAAAGGAAGCCAGACTTGCCGCTCAACGTGCCGAGATTGAAGCTGCACAACTTCGGGAAAGAGAGCTTCAACGTCAATTGGAAGCCCTTGAGGACGAAGACTCCTCTTCAGATGAGGATGAAGGTCCACAAGAGGTTACACCGCAAGCTTCAACACCAACACTAGGTAGCCAGGAATTAGAGCGCAAAGAAGTCACTCCTCCACCACCGCCTCCAATGCCCAGTTCTGTTCCACCAGTTCCAGTTGCGGCAGTAACGACACCTGTTGCTCCTTCCAGCCCTGAAGCGGAAACGAAAAATCCTTTCTTGAAGAAACTGGCCCAGGCTGGAACCGATGGTGGCTCTACATCAAACAACCCATTCCATCGCCTACCTTCTCAAGAGATGCCCCAGCCAGCCGATCCAATTGTCACTCAGCCAACCGGCGCTAGATCCCGTGCCCGCCCTGAAGAGGATGACTGGTCTGTTGTTGGCTCTGACAAGGACGATGATTCCTCGGATGATGAGGGTCCAGGTGCAGGAAACGCCCGTCACCTTGCTTCGATCCTCTTCGGTACCATGGCACCTCCTCGTCCTCTCTCTGCCATGGACAATCCATCAGCACCAGCAAGTCCAGCTCCACCTCGAGACTCTCCTGCTGCTCCTCCACCACCCCCTCCTATGACTTCAGAAGGTCCACCCGGACCGCCTCCACCGCCCCCAATGCCAAACACCGGTGCTCCCCCTCCCCCTCCGATCTTTGGTGCTCCAGCGCCTCCTCCACCACCTCCTCCGGCTCCTGCGCCTGGAATGGAGGCCTCTGCTGCGCCAAGACCAGCGGCTTTGTTGGGAGAGATTCAGATGGGAAGGCAGTTGAAGAAGACTGTTACCAAGGATTCTAGTGGAGCTGCTGTTGCTGGACGGGTTCTTGATTAGGATTGTAGTTTAGTTGGTTAGGGATTCAAGGGATAGAAATTCGTTTTTTGATGAGTGGTGATGGTGATGGAAATGTGGGACCTGAGAGGGAGATTGTGTAATTATATTTCGTCGGTGGAGGGTAGATGTATGGAGGTGGGGTGGTTAGATAGTTAGGTAGCGAGCACATAACTGAGCGTAGCGCGAGAATCTGATTTCCTCCTGCGTTTTGAGAGTATTCTGGTTTTGTTTTCGCGTGTGTGATTCTCGTCGTCTCGCGATTTGAGGGCTTCTCTGGGTTCTAGAGGTCTTCCATTCCCAGATTTTATATAGAGGGTCATCACAGCACGGTTTCTTGTGTAAGAGTCCAGGGGAGGAGAAAATAGGTTATTCGCGTGTTGAGCTACGTGGAAGATTATGTTTTGGATACGGTAGCTGGCAGGTTTGGTCTTGGTTTTGTGTCATGTTGTATTACGGAGCTTTGAGTTGATTGGTTGGTGTATTTACTTGCTGATCTTGGAGTTATTTTATATATGAGTTGGTTTTTGATAGTAGATATAGCCCTTACTTTTGAGTAGGTATGGTTGGGGGATTTGTTGTTGGGAAATTTATTAGTCAGATATATCAATGTTTATATTTTGTAGTTGGGCTTTGAAGAGTTTGTTATGAGGGATTTACGTATACTAGGTTCACGTATGAGTAAGGATGTAGTATCTAGGTTAAACAAATAGCCCCTAGGACACTTGTGAGGCTACGTATTAGCATCTTGATCAGTAGAGCCTAGGCTGTTAAGCGAGCAATTTAGGTCTAGCTGACTACATAGTTCTGGTGTATTGTTTGGGGAAGGGGGGAAGGCGGAGGGTTAAGAGGAAAGGAGCATTTGTAAGTGTATAATAATCCTGCTGATTGCATGTTGTTGTTGTTATTGTTGTGGACATGTAATTAACTGGATCCGCGGATCAACTGGATCTAATGATAATACAAGTTTGCTTAGTCAACAGCGATACGTAAAACAAATCCAATAACTAAGCTCCCGGTGGACAAGAAAAGTGGCAGAGATCTCTTTTATCTTATCCTAACTGAACTAAAAACCACTATTATATTATCTATTTAGAACAATTAAATTGATTAAAATGATTTATCGGAAACAATAGTATAATAAGGGCAATTGTTCTAGATATTTTGAATATTTTAGTACTTGGAATTAACTTACGCTAATAATTAAAAAAGAAATCTCTGCCACCTTTCTTGTCCACCGGGAGCTAAGTCCTACGGTTATATGCTTAAGTGAGTCTAGCTAACTATGTCCCTGCTTACTTATAAATCCTATTGTAAGCTAGTCCTAAACAAGCAACTACGCTTGGAGCTAGCTCATAATCATTCACTATTGTAAAGCGATAATAAGTCTCTAATTCTAGATGCCAAAGCAAGTACAGCTACTGTAGCTAGGTCCCTGCGTACTTGTACTTTAGATACTATTGGACGCTAGTCCTAGTCAAGCAGAGTACGCTAGTCCCTATTGAGTGGAGTATGCTAGTCCCAAAGGAGTAGCTACGCTTGGAGCTAACTCATAATCATTCACTATTATGGGGTCTACATGCTAGTTGAATGTGACTTAACCTGGAGAGGCAAGCAACAGACTCTCATAGCATTCACTTATGTGCATTTTAAGCCTCTTTTTGGTGAATCGTAGACGCTGAAGTCAAGGGGAAGATGATTGGTTGTGAGGTTTGAATGTAAACATTGCTGGTATGTTTGTCAAGGGGCTCACGTGGCTAAGCGTTGGGGAAAACTCCTGGTTGCTGCTGCTTATGTTCTTCTCTTTTGACGTGCATCATTGTAATTTGTCGTGGGTAACAGGGTACGTTCATATTGGTTGAGTGTAGTGGTGTTATGACAATGGACAGTGTGGGCTTCCAGAAATATCACTCAACCTCAGAATCCACTTTCTACTACCATTCATGAAAATTAATTACACCCTCGATGATCGATCCACTTCTCAGAAGGAATTGAGGAGGCCATGAAAACTCTGTTATTGGGATGTGTTTTGCGTATAGAGTGTGACTAAGTAAGCTTGCATACATCGTGTGATCTAGTTGATCACTTGTCTACAACAACAACCTATAATCACTAGGGTTGTTGTACGTTTGCCAATAAGCGTTTCTTCTTAAAGAGGAGGCTCATCCTTCGTCAGAAAAAGTCTCTCTTCTTTGCCTTCAAAGATCTTATATAATAAGTCAACAGTATGGCGAATATTGTAGTCTTAAAAATATTATACGTGGTTCTATTGTTCTACGAGTAGAGACTGCTCAACGTCTTTGACAGTGAGAGCTCAGGAAGAAAGCAACGAATCACAAAGTTAATTACTATAAGCTTATTGACCCCAAATACCAACCACTCTCAACTGTTTAAATAGGACACCTCTTCTCACTACCTCACCCTAACATGCTACTGTACGTTACGGCTCTATGTCACAGATACTGGGTGAAGGGGAGGCTGAGATGAGGGGTTCAACTTCTTGTTGACATATGATCTTCCTCACGAGGGTGTACGCTGACAAATTGGAGCACTCATTATAGAGATAAGAACACTATTCAGAACCAAAATAGTAGTGAAGGATTGAATGTTGGACTTACTAGCCTATTCAGGGAGCTCTACTTGCTTTTTAGCCTCTTTTTCTCCGCTTCGCGCTCCAGAAAATGGTTGTATTGTGTTGCGTTCCTTTAGGTACAAGAGTAACCCCTACATCATTTCAGTGAATCTTTCTTGACACAGAGGTAGTGAAGGGCACCTTGTTTACTGGTTTAGCAGACCCACTCTAGTCAGTCAGTAGCAGTACGTATTGTCCGTTGCTGGCCCGTTGCTGGCCCGTTGCTGGCCCGTTGCTGGCCCGTTGCTGGCCCGTTGCTGGTAGATGGGCTCTATTTATTTCTGTTCATTATGACGCCCCCAAGACCGCAATCCACTTCCTACCTTCCTCCCATCACACACAACAACAAAACACGACCACACCTCCATACTTTTGCAATAACAAAATACGACGGCACCCCCCTATCTGTGCATCAGTAAAACACAACCACACCTTTATACCTGTACATCGTCCAAGTCTGCCATCCAAATTCTGGGTGTAATTGTTCTTGAACACATACTTCAAAATCAGCCAAGATGAATCACACTTCTGCCCTCAATCCACAAGGCCTGGGCTATGACCTAGAGGATAACGTGGTAAAGAAATCCTTCGTAAGGCCGAGACCTATAAGGTTAAGCGAGGTACTAATTCTGTTGTAGTCAAGAACGTGGTAGGCCGCAAGAATAAGCCTAAAAACGAGCCAACTGTTGATGATTCAACCAATGACGACCCATTCTCTTATGAACCAACTGGTATGTACGCTCTATTTTACAAGAGGACCCCCCTAAAAGGACCTAAAGTAACTTTCTATAGGGTTTAATGATGGAGATGAAGATGTTGATGCCGACGGTGAATTTGATTGGGATGAAGCAGAAGCTCCTGGGTTGTCTTCTAGCCCATACCCTGATCCTACAGACCTCCAGCCCTACTATACGGATACTCTTAACTTTATGTAAGATTCTACTCTTCTCGAGATATATTACTGACAATAACCCCAGGGGCCGTACCGAAAAAATCACAAGGAGGCTTGTCAAGTAAGTACCCTTATTTACTTACATGCTCTAGTACTGAGTGTTACCAATAGAAACTCGCCGACAATCATCAAAACCATTCCAATCGTCACAAAAGCGATCAGCGGGTAAGTAGACGCCTCGTCATCTCCTCGATTGATATCAACATACTAATCATCTCTGAGCAGTGGATATGGATGACTATGACCTAGGAATGGGAGCTAGTGGATTTCTTCGAACACCGGAGAAGCGACGAAGACCTTCAAATCGTAAGTTATCACCAACATTTACTTCATCCATTAATGGCTGCCTCTCCTATATCTTGGGAATAGATAGGCAACCTGGCCTTGATGTCTTCAGTTTCTTGTGGAGGGACCTGCAAGCCTCATTGCAGGTTCCTCTAGAGAAAACATACTACATCGTCCTGAAAGCCTCAAATATTCATAAGACAGCAGAAAACCGCCAGTTTCCCCTACTCGGAACATATGGTATATGCTAACAATACTTGAATAGATGGGTTCGTCAGCAGTCAACGAAAATCCCCTAACATCCTAGCCGGCTCCGATAGTCCTCCCAACGCCTTCATAACGAAGTTCGATCACGACTACCACAGAATCGGCTTCATAGGTAGATCTGGACTTGGATCATCCTCCACTCCGTCAATGAATACCTCCTCGGTATCACAACACGGAGTCACAAGTATGTCTCAACATACTTCTTTCACACTGCCCCCTCCACAAATGGGATCTCTTGAGCGGCAAGCCCCTCACCCCGCTCGGGTTCCCCAACCAACTAAACCTCTCAGCCAACAACCCTCTGCCATAGCTGCCGCTTCCCCAGATGGATCAAGTCAATCTGGTAACGACAATCAGCAGCTCCTTCAGGAATGGGAACTCTGGAAGCACGTGGGAGAGATTGCGATCTCAAATGAAAGCGACGGCCAGCGTGTAGAAGATACAGATCGCTGGAGCAAGAAGTTTGATGAGTACTTGAACTCGAAGACTCATCAGGAGTTTAATAAGAAAGATATCTAGCAGTGGTGGGAGCAGGATAGATTACGTGTCTACCATGATATGTTCAGCGCTGGTTATGACTTTTGATATGTTAGTACATTGGGGATTGACAATACTGGTGAAATTTTGAGGGTGACCTGTGCAGGAAAACACATTTTTGCGCTTTGGCAATGGAGGAATTTCATATGTGATATTTGATCTTTGACTCTCTGTCAGATTTAAGGTAATTTGTTTAGATGTATTTGAGCATGGAGACTGAAGGAGTTCACGTGGATACTATTTGGGGAATCTTCGCATCAGATGCTACTGTTTTTGATATTTAGTCAACATATAGGTAGCTAAACTTCATGTTAGTTACAAACTATTGATATACCATTACTAAAACAAACTTGTCTTGATACTTAGTGATAAACAATAGTCTCGCTTATTGTTCGTTGTAAGATGGGTCACCATTGTACAAGTACAACAAGGAATTGACAGGCTTTCTGGTACAGCGAGCCCTATTTCCCTGGCCTGCTTGTGATGATGAGAAGTGTTGGCAATTTGGCTGACGCTCCTCTCGCCTGCATTGGCAGGGTTACAAAAGAATCTGACCCCCCACATTAGATATCATTGGTTTCACCGAGCGTTCTACAGAAAACTACTCCAACGCATTCGACCAAAGATTTATGGTATTAATACTACGATGAACGTTTCAGTCATCATCCGGAAGCCTGATATGTACCCTCGCACCATAGGACAAGATAAGAAGAAGAGAATTATTTACAACCAGTGCAACTTGACTTGAATCACGTTATCTTTCTTATGATTTGGTACAGTCCCTTCGCAAAAATAGCAAGAAAGTTTTATGTACATTTAGACCCTTTTGTGCAGTTTTGTGCATTTCAGTAGTTTGTTTTTACATTTCTACTATTATATGGCGTTCCAGGGTACTTTTCAGCTTTATGCTTCAATTATTTGGTCTTAGGGTTAGGGTTAAGTAGCATAGAAGCGGCGTGACACCCTAGGACTATACGTCAAGCTAAAAGTGCCATCATTTGCACAAAACCCTTGTTTTTGCCTACTTTTGCGAAGGGGCTGTAATTGAAATCAATTGAAACTTAGAACAATTAAGAGAAAATCCCAGGACAATCAAGGGGACTGTCGTAAAATATACTAAAATTACGCCAGAATAAGAAAAAGAATCCTTGCCACTTTTCTGGTCGACTGGGAGGCATCCTAGTATGTCCTTCACGGGACAAAAGAAATTACCGACCAGCTTCTCTACCAAGCAATCTTCCAAGGCTTTAGAAATGTTCTCGACATTAATTTGCTTCCAATCCCACTTTATTATAGCCAAAAATAGAGAACTGAGAGAGCGGCGAACCGAGGAAAACTGGAAACCTAAACTAGGATTCAATTCTTATAAGAAAACAAGCACCAAACCCCCTCCCTTCCTGCAGAAAACGCCAACATCAGTCACCCCAGGCCCCTACCAAAATCATACCACCCCCCCTCAGGCTCCCCAAAATGTAGTACCGGCAAGACCGGACAACAGAATAGGTCCACGTGGATATAAACTGCCTGCATTTCGTCCCACAACACCTCAACCAACCAACTAACTGGTACCAACCTCCGGAAAATAAGAAAACAGTCCCTCGGAATGGGTCTGAAGAAAACAAGCCTCTCGTTGGTGATTTTCCACCGACTTGACAATTTCCATTTTCATTTACAATTTTCAACGATCATCCCTCCCACTCTCGTATACCAAAAAGAAAAGCTCCGGGCTCCAGTTCATTTTCCCCCATAGGCTACCCCGCACCCAAAGCATGCACCATGAGCCAAACCTGGGAATATCAAAAGTCAAAAAACCGGGGGCCGGCAAAGCCCTTTGGAGTCTCGCCTCTCGAATCAACAAAAGAGGAAGATAGCGAGATAAGAAGACGTCCGGTAACCAGAAAAGAAAAGGAGTAACCCACACGCTGGTGCCGCAAGTATAGGTGACGCATAAGGCAACCGTCGCTCACCGACGATCTCTATCCTTCAAACTTGCATGTTAACCCACGGAAAACATGTAGAAAGCGCCATGCTGTGCTACCACTCAATAGACGGCTGACATCAGCCAAGGGTCTAAGGAACATCAGAACGCTGAGCCGCGGTCAACTTTGGACATGCTGTACACCCCACATTGTCTGAGCCAATACAGAGGAATCCCGAATAAGGGACACGGTTTGCCTCGCTTTTAGACGCGGGTTTGCAAGGACCTGGTGTTGGAGAGCGGGAAACGCCCACCACACTTTTCATGATAGAGCTCGCTAACGAGTGATCTGGTGACCATTTGTTTACAAAATGTTAATTTGGCTTTCAAGTCAGGTATTGCGCTTTGATTACACATGGGTCAATTCAAGAGATAGCAATGCATATGGGAGAAAAATGTTTGTGAAGGTTTCTTAGATTCCGTTGTAAAATAAGTCCTCCTAGACAAGTACTTGCGCATCAAGAATGAAGATGTCTTCAATACATCCATCTGATCTCATCAAGACTTGATCATGAAATCGGCCGCTCGTGCCTCAGAAAGAAAACAACGTCCCGCTACCAGTACAGCATGCTGGCGCCTTAACAATTTCATCTGTCCCAGTAACATTCGCTCAAAAGAAACCCTCAAATTGGCTCTCCTCCACTTCTAACGTACAGAGATCTCATCCGTATACTCCATCCAGGGAGACCGGCACTGTTGATGCTCACGTGGACGCTTAGTTGCCGTTGCGTGCTCTGAGGAGGAAGAGGCGGCGGTCCTCATCGGTGACGTTGCGGGCAGTGTTTGGGTTTGGGCGGGATGGAACGCTGGTGAGAGCGAGGAAACCACCAGACTCGGAAGAGACGGATGAAGTGCGAGTATCGCGAGGAGTGTGAGTAAGTTCAAGCCAGGAACCGGTGGAAGACACAGAGGAAGCGGTGCCAGAGCGGTCTGATGTGATTGTTAGTTATTGCTAGAAGTTGTGCCTATGAGTGAGGAGTCCTTACTGAGGCGGGTGGCAGTGAAGTCTTGTTGGGCAGACATGATGATAAGGTTGTTTGATTATTGGGTTTGGGAGAAAGGTGGTATTGAAAAGGTGATTAATGACTTGAGTTGACTGTTGCAGTTGATGAATTGAAGTGAAGTGAAGTGAGTTGGATTGATGATGATGAGAAGGACTGGCACATTCAAGTATTTATCAGCCTTCCATCTGGTCCGCGCACCTGTCAGTCAGCATACCGGCATGTACGGGTCTACCGTATCCTATCTGCTTGCAGGTTGCCATGGCTTACAGCCCCCCACCAATCTCTTGGTGTTTTTGTGAGCTGCCTTGCCACTTCACCCTACATCAAAAAGGCAATGTGAGCACTCCTTCGCCAAGAGATCTCACCCTTACACGAGTCACAAGTTCACCAAGTCCAACCAGTCCTCGTCCCGACCCGCTAAAGAGGCACGTCTTCGGTTATCCAACTGTCACTGGTCAGTTAAACTTTAACCAAGTGGCCAAGAGATGCGGCTGCAATGCTAAACTGCCGTTTGCTTGGCTGTAGGGTTTGCAGGAAGGAACAAAACAGACGATGAAGATGGTGGCGTTTGAGCCAAGCGAGAGCCAAGTATTATTGATAGATCACTGCATTTCTGGGGTTCTGGGCATCATGAAACATAAAAATTCTGGCATGCGATAAGAGTGAAAAAGATACTGTACAAATGTCATGACATTGAGGTGTGTGGTAAGGAGAATGAATATGCTATCATGTGGTCGCGATAGGTAATATTTGTATCACAATAGTACAATTGTATGCAACGTCTTGCAAACTTGGGCTGGGCCCGTTTTAACCTCTGCAATTGGACTTGAAGCGATTGGATATGTACAATATTATGTACAGGATGAACCTAAGCCAGATTCATTGCTTGGCTACCATCATGAGGATTGTAGCCAAGCGTCTAGGTTGCTTATGTGCACTTGCATTGGAATGATGTACAGAGCGTGCTTGCACATCATTTCTTGGTAGGAACCTCAAGACGTTTGCAATGCCGCCTGAAGCAGTGTGCCAGTGCGGAGAAGGAGATCAGAAGCCCACACAATACGAATCGCAACACCAACACAGGGGCTCATTAGACGCCCACTGGGAGAGTTCTTTTTTGTTACGACAAGTGCAAAGGAGAGTTGGGTCTCAACTGTGGTCCCTCATTGCGCCACGATGAGCTGTAGAACGAATAATCAATACTCCGTACGGGTTTTCGTTCTAGCGAGCAAAGGCTTCGTCTCAAATGCGGTCAAATCCGCCTTCTTGTTCTTCGAATCATCCCACGAGGACGTTTGACCACTTCACATCCATTTCTTGTTTCGAGGTCGGTCGTCCCGAGGGGTTGTGTCGCCGTCCAAAAGACGGGGACTAATCGCTTGGAGCTCTCTCAAGCAACCTGTCTAGGAACTATGGGACTTGTGATAAACAGTCCAGGCTTGGTTGTTACCTTGACGGTCACAGTAAGGCTCCTGTGCCTCGCTGCAATTGGCAACTCCTACCATTACAAGGACAGTACCGCTACCGTATTGTTGACAGCTCATCTCGCGCCCCTTTTTATAATTCCGAACTGCGACAACCAGACAAGCTTTGCGTTCTGGAAGGTGTGACGAATTTAGCATCGGGCAACGAACGCTTTCCTTTGTCGCATCATCTGAGTTGCCTCGAACCCGGCGTCTTCGCGAGGCATGTAGAGACGAAGATATTTTGGCATTTTGCCACCGACAACTTCATGATGCGAAACATGCGCCTTGCGCGAAGTCGATCGGAAATATCCCCGGCTTAATCCTCTTCGGCATTTCCATCGCGCAGGGAAACTTTGTGGGGTAAAACAGCGAAGTACCCCGGGGTTGGGGTACTTCGTTGTATCGCATTGCAGACGAAGAGTGAAAGGGTGCCATGAGTCGAATCTCGAAGACGATTTCTGTCTAATTGTGAGAAAATAGGATCAGCAATTGGCAGTAGTACTGGAGTTGAGGGCGGTTGAATGCAGAACTGCTTCCACCAGTCGGTAAGCCAAGAGCAACATAAAGTACATGTCCTTCGATCATGACCGACTTCTCAATATACTTCAGAACTCATGCTCCAGATGCCAAGGCACGTTGACATACTTGAAAGCCATGGCAAGCCAATATTGCTACTCCCGCGTCGTCACATCTAAGCACAGTACAACCGTTTCGCACACAATAATAATGTGCCAGATGAGGCACGACAGAGGACAGATCGTGGCTGCACAGCTTCTTGTCCCACAATGCGGTGCATTCTTGGAAGGCTTGGGATAGACAAAAGGAACATCCGAACAGACGTTGGAGCGGTGAGCTTTTGCGGCATCGCGTCGGTTGAGGGACAGTTCGATGCAGTGTCGCGCGTTTCTCCGCCTTGTGGCTAATCCGTTTTGGCAAAAGTGGTGCTGGGCGCATTGTATTTGGTGATGGTGTTGAGCAAAAATCTTGGTCTGGTCGCCGAGAATTAGAAGGCCCGCAATCCTTCGCCAAGCAATTCTCCAATGTAACCACAACGGAGGCGAGATCATGTTGACCAAGCATTCTTGAAATATTTTACGCTCCTACCTAATGAAGAAAGTGTCATGGATTTCTTTGCATGAACAGCATCATGCTATTGAAGTATCGCGAGCCTTTCCTTCAAGAGGCCAAGAGGAGAGGTCGTATCACAAATAGCGACACCTCAACAGCTGCATATCTTCCTTATCTCAGATAGGAGCCCACTTACAAATATCCAAATTCATCTAGAAATTTTCGAAAATAATGGGGGGGGGGAAGGGGA